TGGATGTGAATAGGGGAACTAAGAGGGTTACTCAGGAGCAAGAGTCGGGTGAGGAGCAACAAAGGAAGAAGATCCGGGATATAATTACTGCTCCCACAGATGAAGAGTCATTTGCAGGGTTCTCTGGGAGTGATGGGTTAGAGAGTGATGAAAGTGAGGATGACACATTGGACTGGACTAAGGTACAAGATGTATGTGCAGAGCCAACGTCTAGTGACACGTTTGTGGGGTTTTCTGGTGGGGGGGGATTGGCAGTCGGGAAATACTTCCGAGTCTTGGGGGGATCTAAGTCTAGACAGAAGATGGAGCAGTTGGAGGGATGGGCATCGGAGTTCACGTGTGGAGTCAAGGACAGCTGTAAGAGATGACGGGGCGGAGGTCAGCTCATCTTCGGATGAGGTGCAAGATAAAAGTAGGCTCTGAAATGGAGAATCTTTGCAGAAGGCAAAGTGTTGGTTTCGTGTCTTGGGTTTTATCACTGCCTATTTCGTGTTGGTATTGGGTCCTGGATCTGCAGGTTGCTGCTTCCATTCGTGTGTGTTTTGAGTCGGCTTGGATTCTCGTGAGTGCGGATTTCCCCTTCTTTGACTTCGGACCAGTTTTGACTACGACGCTGCCTACGTGGATTTTGGAACCTCACAACTTTAGACTTGGCTTACTACAACCTCGGACTTCGTTTGACTACGTCATCTTCCTTGTGGCTCTTTGTTTGTTAACCCTTTACTTGCTGTGTTATTTTGTGTGACTTTTGGAGCGCTTTGTTTTAATCCGGATTATTGCTTCAGTTTACCTTTTGAACTAGAACTAGTTGCTACTTTTGAGTTTTGACCAGAGACACTGAGTTAAGTGTCTCTGAGTCCCTTCTGCTTTGTTTAAATAAACTCAACTTTTGGAAATATACTTGAGTCTGGCTCTTTAAGGCATCTGGGTTCCGACATTCAGCAAGTCTTGCAAATGTTGATTGACTGTAAATACTTATTTTTTATACTATTTTGTATACCTATATACTCAGAGTTGCATAAAAAATTCAGGCAGAAAGGGGTCACAAGTGAAACATATTTAAGAAGGCTTTATCTAGACAGGTCTTCTACACACAATACTTTTCATGTAGACAATTCTTTTTTCACAGAGAAGCATTCAATATAGTATTGTATCTTGTATCAACTTATGGTCAGAAATGGCAGGCATAGGTTTACCCATTCTTTCTTAGGAATATATTACATATACTTACTTAGAAAATATTTCCAGTGTATTTGGTGCCATGTCTCTTGAAATAGTTGTATGAGGGATTGTCTTTGTAGTTCAATCCTATGTATATATTTATAGAGAAATAAATTTAACCCCGAAGAATTTATCCCTAGGGCTCAATCTGAAAGCCCATGATGCTGCAAATCTTAACTCTCCAGAGGTCTCGGTCTGTCTAATGCTTCTGAAGCCACTTCTACCGCCCTTGCCAAAAAAACAAAAAACAAAAACAAAAAACCTACCTCAATGCAGCTACCCACTTCTATGTTTGAGAGATTTCAAATTCTGTTTATTCAGAAGTTTACTCTCCTGTTTTCAATCAATGGTAATGAAGTATAGACAGGTGTGTCTAGGACTGTAATCTTAGGCACTTACTTGGCTTGAGTTCCATTGATGCCGATACATGTATATAGGATTTCGTTGTAAAAACTGGTAAGTTGGTGAATGTTTTCCCTTTTCTCAAATTTGTTTTTAGACTATTATTGGTATTTATAATTACCTTTATAATAAAACTGCTAAAGTATTTTAAGATAAGTGTGTACTATTTTTAATGCCCAAAGTGTTTCACAGAACTTATTCCTGTGTAAATTGAGATATCAAAACATCACTAATCACTAATGAGATACATTAACAGTTTGCATTTTCATTATTATAGTTACATCCAGTCACCTTTCTGTAAAAATGACCACAGCTGGTAATGTCTGCAGCAAATATTAATAATATAGTCCATCTCCACACAAGCAACCGGCATTGCAATCACACCACAGAAAAATCAAGACTGAAGAAATTCTAAAAAGTCCAAGAAAATATACACACAGTTAAAAACAAAATGAAATTGAAGATACAAATTAAAAGAGAGCAGCAGAAAAAAACACGATAATCTCCATTACTTTATTTATTTATCTCCATTACTGGGACACTAGGTCAAAGATGGCTTCCGTGTGGTTTGCTTGCACAATGCTACAGATTGAGGGTCCCTTACCTGAAATGCTTGGGACCAAAAGTGTTCTGTGTATTTGGACTTGCTTCCAGATTTTTGAGCACTGTACTTGAATATAAAATAATGAGATTGCCCTAGAAAAGGCACCCAAGTCTTAACTCAACTTCAGTTCCATTCACTTAGGTTTCATAGACGCCTTGTTATCATCATCGGCAATCACTTGACTGCATATGATTGCCTTCCAATTGAAGTGTCTTGGCGGTGGGTTCGTAGGTGACTGTAGACACCTATTCTTGATCTGCATGTTCTTTCACAGTGAGAACATTGATTTCCAGGTGGAAGGCAGTCCCAGTCTGGGTTGGCTTTATGCACTTTCTTCCTCTTGACACATTTCTCCCTTTCACCCTCCATTTGGGCCGCAGTGGCACAATGGGTTAAACTCTTGTACTGCTGAACTGTTAATCTGAAGGCCTGCAGTTCAAATCTGCGGGGCGGGGTGAGCTCCCACTGTTAGCCCTAGCTCCTGCCAACCTAGCAGTTCAAAAACACACAAATGTGAATAAATAGGTACCGCTTCAGCAGGAAAGGCATAAGACACTCCAAGCAGTCATGTTGGTCACACAACCAGAAGATAACGCAGGCTCCTTGGCTTGGAAATGGAGAACAGCTCCTCCCCCAGAGTCAGAGATGAGCACTGCCTCCAAAGTCAGAAAAAAAAGGAGAAGCCTTTGCCTGTTTGTGTGTCTCACTGTGCTGAAACAAGACATCAAATGTTTCTGGTATCTGTTTACACTGTAACCCGCTCTAAGTCCCCACGGGAAGAAGGGCAGAATATAAAAGTGTTATTATTATTATTATGTGGAACACATCTCACCACACTAAAACAGTGGATGTGGCTCTTAATGAGACATGCCGCATTATCACAGGGTGTCTGCGCCCTACACCACTGGAGAAATTACACTGCTTAGCCAGTATTGCACCACCTGACATCCGCCGGGAAGTTGCAGCCAATAGTGAAAGGACCAAGGCAGAGACATCTCCAGCTCATCCCTTGTTTGGGTATCAGCCAGCACATCAACGACTTAAATCAAGAAATAGTTTTCTTAGATCTACAGAGACACTCGCTGGAACACCTCAGCAAGCGAGAGTTCAAAAGTGGCAGGCTCAAACCCAGCACCTCAATCCGTGGGTGATACCAGATGAGAGACTCCCCCCTGGGCACACAGAAGACTGGGCGACTTGGAAGGCGCTGAACAGACTGCGCTCTGGCACCACGAGATGCAGAGCCAATCTTAAGAAATGGGGCTACAAAGTTGAATCCACGACATGCGAGTGGGGAGAAGAGCAAACCACTGACCACCTGCTGCAATGCAACCTGAGCCCTGCCACATGCACGATGGAGGACCTTCTTGCGGCAACACCAGAGGCACTCCAAGTGGCCAGATACTGGTCAAAGGACATTTAATCAGCTACCAAGTTTGCAAAATTTGTGTTTGTTGTTTTTTTGTTATCTGTTTGTTTGTTTTGTTCTGTTAGAAATGTAATACAATGTTCTGGTTGTGGATGACACAATAAAATTATTATTATTATTTGTGCCTCTTTGAATTCCACAGCACTGTTGGTATCAGCTGGCCTCCAGTTATGTAGTATACTCAAGGGCCAGGGCTTCCCAGTTCTCTGTGTCTATGCCACTGTTTTTAAAGTTGGCTTTAAGCCCATCTTTAAATCTCTTTTCCTGTTCACCAACATTCCGTTTTCCATTTTTGATTTGGGAGGAGAATAACTGCTTTGGGAGACGGTGACTGGACATTTGGACGTGACATGTCCAGCAAAGTTGATGCAGGAGGCTCATTGCTTCAGTGTTGGTGGTCTTTCCTTCTTCCAGCACACTGACATTTGTCCGCCTATCTTCCCAAGAGATTTGCACCTTATTATACACATAGCCCGAAGGTCATTGTATGCGTAACACTTTAAACAATGTTATGCATGAAACGAAGTTTGTGTACATTGAACCATCAGAAAGCAAAGGGTTCACTCTCTCAGCCACCCATAATGACAATTTCGGATTTCGGAATTCTGGATAACGGATGCTTGACTTGTATCAACATCTTCCCTGAGGGAGTTCCAAAATAAGCCTATCTACTAAGTCAGCTGCAGACAGTTTTGTTGGTAATTAACACAAGGCACATGTAGGCCAAAAGAGCGGCTATGGGGGGGAAAGGAAGGGACCTGAGGCTGTTAGGAATTGTGGGAGTTGAAGTCCAAAACCCCCAAGTTGGCCCAGGCTTGGTTAAACTCCTTCAACCCCTCCCTAAAATAGACTATCCTGCTCTCTCTAGCGCCCCCTTGAGGCATCCGCCCGGAAACATTTGGGACCCCCTGTATTTGTATCGGTTTCCAGTACTTTGCCTCCTATTCAGCGTCAATGGCTTAAGGCTGTATAACACTGCTGGGAATACATACTATTACCGCCAAACACACACACACAACTATTCCAGGTGAAATTTTGCCAAGGGGGAGGCGTCACCAAAGCCGAGCTTTCAGAGACACTAAAGGTTGAGGATCGAGCGCCTCGTGTCCAACCGTGCCTCCCCACCTTTGGCTCCCTCAGACCTCTTGGACTCCGTCTCCCAGAATTCCTAACCGCCGGCCAAGCTGGCAGAGGCTTCTGGGAATTGAAGTCCCCGCTAGGAAACCGGAAAGGCTCTTCGTTTCCGCCTCTGGGCCGTGCTTCCCTTATTCCCTCCTCCCTTGGCTACTCGCTCCCTTCCCTCACCCCCGAATGACGTCGCACCTCTGCCCAACCAATAGCCGGGCCGGAGGGCTCTCGGGAGCTCCGCCCCGAACTTGATCAGCTGAGGGCTGGAATAGTCTGTTGACAGGAGCGACGGCAGTTGGGCTTCGGTCTGAGAGGCGGTTGGCGGCGGGGAGAAAGCCTTAGAATGAGGAGACAAGCGGAAGGGCTCGCGGAAGCTTTCTTCGACGGCTTGGGCCGAGTTTAGGCAAGGCGCTGGCCGAGGCCTTCCTCCAAAGAAACAGGAAAGGCGGGGTTCAAACAGTGAGGGTTTTTGAATGTACTGAACCCAAGGCCTCTCCCTTAAGGCCGGCTTCTGTGTGGGAATGCTTTGACTGGAAATAAACCAAGCAAAGGAGCGAGGGGAGGCTTTGTCTGTCCTAACTGGAAAGCCCTTGAATTCCAGGTTTCCTCGCCCTGATCCTTCTGTTTCCCCATCAAAGGATTGTGCCCCAAACCAGGCCTCCAAGTGCCCATTCTTTGTGCCACTTCTGTCTCTTTCCTTCCCCCTTCAGGTGTCAATCCAGATGGAGCTCTTGCAAACCAGAGGCCCGGCCCAGCCAGAGGAGCCGCAGCCTTGGGGGAAACTGATCCGCTTGGGGTGCCAGGAAGCTGAGCTGCACCTCTTGCTGAAGAAAGAATGGACCATTGGGAGGAGAAAAGGTAAGGGGCCGGATGCCTTGTTGTGTACGAGCAACAGAGTTTCTTGTCATCTTGCCAGAGAGTAAGGAAAGCCCATATCTCAAAGGGCTTACATGTGTGTCAATCTTCAAGAGCACTGCTGCTGCCAATGGTCCCGGCCTCCCAAATGGCGGGTCCCCTTATAGCTCAAGAGACGTTTGGCAGCAGGAGAAGGTTTCTGACCGCCACCCATTTACACTAATTTTTTAGCAACAACATGCAATGTTTGCAGAGGACTCTGCTGAAAATGATGCAGCTGTACACAACAAAGAAAGGAAAGTCAGCCTGTTTAGCAAGCCTTGCACATGCTGATTTGTTATCAGTGTGATTTGTATACCTATTTTATATACCTGAAAGGACATGGGTCACATCAAAATATCTCTGGTGGAAAGGGGTTGAGTCAAAAAGCTTAAGAAGTCCTGTTCTACAAGAGAGGGCGATGAAGTTGCCTAGAGGCTGGATGTCTTTTGTTTTGTTGATAAGTCTCAACAATTAGCAGATTTTCAGCGGGTGCTTAAAACTACTTCCTGTGTTGCTCCCTGTTCTGTGCACTAAGCTTTGGGGTGTGTGTGTGTATATATTTGGTTCCGGCCCAAGCTACCTATCCGACCGCATCTCTGCCTATGAACCCACCAGGACTTTGAGATCTTCCGGGGAGACCCTGCTCTCGATCCCGCCTGCTTCTCAAGCTCAGCTGGCGGGGACGAGAGATAGGGCCTTCTCGGTGGTGGCTCCTCGGCTGTGGAATGCCCTTCCTACGGACATTAGACTAGCACCATTTCTAATGGTATTCTGCAAAAAAGTGAAGACCTGGCTGTTTGAGCAGGCATTCCAATAATTAGTGCAATGATTGGTTAATGAACACTGGAATGGAACAATGGATGACGAATCTGGAACATGTTTTTGATGACGAGACGACAGTGAATGGGTATTGTAGTAACTGTTTATTAATTGTGTAATGTGTTAGGTTGTTAACTGTTTCTATACTGTAGCACTGAATTTTTGCTGTTCGTATTTGTTGTGAACCGCTGTGAGTCGCCTTCGGGCTGAGAACAGCGGTATATAAGTAAGGTAAATAAATAAATAAATAAATAAATATATGGTGTTACTATAGATTGAGAATGGATTTAAAGGCCCACAGCAACAACAGCAACAGTATGACTGAAGATGGACATTTCCCACAAAATATTACTTTATAATTTGAAAAACTTCAGTAGTAGTTCATTCAGTTGAGTTAGAAGACTTTTGGTGTTGTTTATAGCCCCTTTGGCTGTTTTAGAAGGCATCCATATTTCACAGCATGTTTCTTTGCAGAATAGCCGTAATTCTTGGGTACAGGATGAATTGGTGTGCCCAACTTATTTGGAAGACTGTCAAAATAATTATATGAACAATGAAAGCTTGTTCAGATATCAGGATTTCAGTTAGCATCATTGAATTCTAGAGTTAGATGAGTCCATAATGCCCATGCAATCCAACCTCAATCTTTCATACAGGAAAACACAATCAAAACACCCCTTGCCCATCCAGTTGCTGCTTTTAAAACTCCAGAGAACAAGGCTCCACCAAACTCCAAGGCAGTCGCATATTCCACTGCCAAACTGCTTTTTTAAATATTGAGACGGAATTTTTTTCCTGCAGTCTAAATCCATGGCACAATTGTGTTCTCATCGCTGGATTAACAGAAAGCAAGCTTGGCCCTTTCTCAATATGGCACCCTTAAAAATATTTCAACATGGTTATCATGTCCCCTCTCAGGCTTCATTTATGATGGGTATCAATTGAAAAACAAATTGTTATTAGCATGTATTTCCTTGGAAGAAATCATCTCAATTTTATAGTACCCTTATTAGTCTTAGGAAGACTGTATATATAGAAATGAAGGGTATTTTTAAAGCTTTGTCAGTGGCATAACTTTTTGAACAAACATGTTATCAGCTGTTCTAAGGGTTAAGCATCCCTTATCCGGAACTCCAAAACCTTTTACTGGCACCCACCTACTTCTGCTGGCCTCCTCTGCCTCCACTTTTATTTATTTTATTTTGAGATTTTTGCCCCACTCTCAACTACGAAGGCGCACAAAGCAGCTCACAAATTTGCCCTTAGGCTACCCTCCCCACTCAGTGGCAGTTGAAGGTGGTGGGAGGGGCTCCCAATAGCTTACTGAGTGAGAGCTGTGTTTTGTTGGCTGCCTCCCTCCCATTTGCCTCTGTCATGTGGATGAAGGAAGGAAAAAGTGAGCCCTTCACCACTGTGGCCATTACCCTTTACTCCTCCACCTCCACCCCCATCTGGTGTCATTGGCATACCTAGGAAGCCACCACACCACCAACAGCGAGAGCAGGGTCATCCCGCTCGCTCGCCTCACACCCACAATGAGGGTGAAGTTGGTAACAATGACAGTGATGCAAACCAGCTACTTTCCTATTGGGGCACCTCCTGCCACTGCTGCCAATTCCTCGCCAGCAAAAGATGTGACACTGCCAGCAAAAATCACCAAGGGCACAAAGATGCAGAGTGTGTTTGTGAAGTGTAGAGAGGAGAAGAGGGTGAGCACAACATGTAGGTTGTATTGGTGGTAATGAAGGAGGAAAGAGGCCTCTCCTCACAAACCTCTCATGCCTCACATTTCCTTTTCCCACTTTCACCCACCCTCTGGTGTTCTCCCAGCTCTATCAAACTTGCAGGCGGATTCATGTTTGCAAGAGGAGTGACGCCATGAATGTGAGGAATCTGTGAGGGCATGGGGAGGTGTATGGGGGGGGGGGTGAGCTGATGATTGAAGTTCCTTGAAGGGTTCCTTTAAATTGTATGGAAATATTCTGAAATATGGGAAAATTTAAAATACTTCTGGCCCCAAGCAATCTGGAAAAAGCAGACATATCCTGTAAAACATTGCAGAATACATGGAAAATGTCTAAATCTGCAAAGCTGAAATGGCTTTGAAAAACAATTAGCAATATTCATGATAGATAGGTTTATCAATGACTGTTTGTAATGAGGGACTTCATAAATTGAAGGCATGTTTAGCCTGGAGAAGAAGAGAGGTTTAAGAGAAGACATGATAGCCATGTTTAAATTTTTGAAAGGATGTCATATTGAGGAGGGAGGAAGCTTGTCTAGAGACTTAGAGATGGAGCAATGGATTCAAAGTACAAGAAAAGAGGTTCCACTAAACATTAGAAAGGACTTCCTGACAGCATGTTCTTCCTCAGAGTGTGGTCAATTTGAAGGTTAGAAGCTATTGGTTGCTAGGTTGGGACCTGTGGTAGCTTTCACTCAACTCCAGCATGCTGACCTCAGTCAGTCTTCAAGCTTTACCCCACTCGCCCTCCCTGGGTTTGGGGCAGGCATGTAGCCGGGGGGGGGGGGGGGGGGTGGCATGGGGGTATTGGGGTAACGATACAAAAGGTTTGCTAGGCTAGACCCTCTTTCACGCAGACTCAGCCCCGCCCCCCCCCCCCCCCCCCCCCCGAATTGAAATGGCTATTGGCCTGGTTTGGGGTATTCATTGTGCATGTTCTTTATTGGCACATCTTTGAGGTGGCTCAGCGTGGGCTCTGGATCTAGGAAAGAGGCTTTTATAGGCTGGTAAGCCCAACAAATGTTGCAGTGGGTCTTCTTAATTTGAAGGTGTCCACAGAAGGAGTCATGGGCAGTTGTAACCAATAAAAGCTGTGGCTTCTTTTTCTCCACTAATGTGTCCTAGTGTGCTTTTTAAGGAAGCAGCAGAGCAAGGTTTGCCCTTTGGATTTGCATGCACAGAGTAAATCAGCAGCCTCTGTTGGCCATCATGAATGTGAAATCTTCAGGAACTAACTGTAACATTCAAATTTTGTCTTAAAGGTTGTGACCTGTACTTACCTGGCAACAAACTGGTGTCCGGGGATCACTGTAAAATAATAGTGGATGAAGAATCTGGTCAAGTATCGCTGGAGGATACCAGGTCAGCATTGCTTGACTCCTTCCTGTTTAGTTCCATGGCTTTTAGACAGCCCTCTTTTGATTTCAAAACAATGCCTTTCTGGATTTTTTCCCCTCTTTTGTGTCTGCATTGCACACCTAAAACTTGTTTTATTGTTACTTTCTAGAACCATCAAATTTCATGTTTAATGGTATTAAGAATTTGTGGGAACAGGAGGGGATGACAGTTATATTGACTCATAGCTTACTATCAGATCTTTGGAGCCCCTGAAGTCAATATTGCATCCCCTCATTTTACCAATTTAACAATTCTTTCTATTTCCGCAGGTTTTTGTATGTCCGTAGCCCTTATAGGGAGAGGTGCTCCATGGGTTTTCAACACAAAATATTTTATAGTATTCAAAGAATCTCTTGAACATGTAAAAGCTTTCCTTTGTCTGGAGGTGGCAACATTATGTTACTAAATTGTTTGGCACAAGGCCACAATGTTTTCTTTTAGAAGTAACAGTGTAGGATTTGTGAGAACAGACCAATAACATTATTTTCCAGATTTAACTGCAATCAGAACGCTTTTCTGGCAGATTTCAGCCGTTGTTTGGTTTGACTTTCAGTGTTTTTCTCTGTGTGACATGAAAACCCATTATTTTCACTTTTTATTTATTCTTGTTTCAGTATGACTATTTACTTCTATCTGTGGTGGAACATTTTTGCTTTGAATCTTAGAATTTTTTTAAGTGCTACAATTTAGCTCAGGCCACTGTTTCCTTTTCATTATAATTGCAAACTAATCTGTGTTTCTGGCAGCAGAATGGGAAAGATTTGGCAGGATGTGTTAATAACAGAACAAGTGCAAAATACTGGCAAGCAAAAAATGTTCACCACTCTCAGACAGGGAAAAAGCCCAGTCCATGTTGGGATCAGGGATATTGTGAGGATAGTGGTAGGCATATACACATAAGGAACTGTGTGGAGGCAGGAGGCAGTCTTATATTTTTATGCAATTCTCTACATATGGAGTCAGGATCTTGGCCATGTCTCTTAATGTCATTAGGTCCCCAGTAAAAAGGGCAGGTGGAGATTTCCACCCCATAGTTCAACTCATGGGTAAGTGTTTAAACTCAGGGAATTACTCCTTTAACAGAACCTTTGGTACCAGAGGCAGAAATAATATGGCAGGAGTAGGGAATTAGTTTCTACAGACTTTTAATTCAAAACTACAGATAAGCTCATGTGAAATGAAATAACCAGGGACCTCATCACACAAGGGGGGAAAGCAGGAGGGAGTATCTTTTCCCCTTTGTGTTCTGTGGCATTCCATCTTGAAAGAAGATGGAGAATTTACTCACCCCCACCACACAGGATACATTTCTGCCCATTTCTAGTTCAGCCGTGTGCTTCATTCCTCATCACACAGTTGGCTATTGTCTTCTCCCATTCTGTTGTCTGTGCAGGACCAAAGTCATAGGCTTTTATTTTTTAATAATTCCACAATTGCAAAACAGTAAATGATCAATAAAGGCAGAATGTCAAAAGTTTGGAATTGCGCAATTACAGCAACAAGTATTTTTTGTAAAAAAAAGATATAATTATTGATCATACTCACAATGGTCCTTTCTGTGTCCGAAGAGTAATGGAGGCATGAAAAGACCACCCACATGCACACCTGCACTGACATTTCCCACAGAAAAATATCCATTTGTAAGTGCAAGGAGATGAATGGAATCAATTCCAGCTCGCTTTTTGAACCCACCCATTTTTAAGACACTGTGGAGACTGTGCAATCCATGGAATAGGTTGTGCATTGTTTGATGACATTGGCAACCCATGGAATAGGTTGTGCATTGTTTGATGACATTTGTCTTTGAAGCATGTAGAAATAGAGCCCACCTTTCATGTGTCAAGGTCTGACAAGCATCGCAAGAGTAAATTTTAAAAATGGAAGCCATCTAGAGACTACTTCAGAGCTTCTTCTAGAGATGTTTCTTTGCTCTCCCATTGTATCTCCATTTTGCTGTTCCATCTGAATTGTGCAGCCCATGATGTCATCTCCCAGTCATCTGTAAGGGGTGCTTTGATTGTGCTTTTCCTGCATGGCAGGGGGCTGGACTAGATGACCCATGTGGTCTCTTTCAACTCTATGATGCTATGATTCATCATTCCCTCTGCTGGCTAGGAATGCTGGGACTTGCAGTCTAGCATGATCTGGAGGGTCATGTGATTCTCAGCCATGGTCTAGGTCTGTGATGGTGAACCTATGACACGCGTGTCAGCACTGACACACATGGCTATTTTTGATGACACGTGGCCACATGCGGCCGTATACAGAGAAGTACACCTTATAAGAGCCAATCTAATTCCATCCTTAAATTTGTAAAAGGCTCTACAAATTTAACATCTGCACGTTTGAGCATTGTTCACTCCATAAGTCAGCATGGAATATACATTTTTTCTTATTTAAACTATATATATTGCAAAATTATGTGTTTTTTTCTCTCAAAGTTGACACCCCACCCAAGTTATGCTCAGGTTTTTGGCAAATTTTGACACACCAAGCTCAAAAGGTTGCCCATCACTGGTCTAGGTGCTGTTCTCCTCCTCCTCTGTGTTTGAAGGATCTTTGTAAAGTAGATACACAGAATTACCCAGCAGTTTGAATACTTCTGTTTGAGAAGGAAGGGGAAAGTATGAATTATTATGTTTTTACAACAGGGTTGGGCAGGCTTCAGTTCTACCAAGTTCTACCAAGCAGGGTTAAAAAGGTGGTTAAACAGGCAATAATAGGCTATAGATACTAGCACACGTTAAGCCAATCTCACTGGAACGCTGGCAAATTTACTCGCATCTTATGGGCCGCTATGGTACAGTTTAAATCATTGTTAGGCACTTTCTTATGTATTTTAGTCATTTAACTTTCCGTAACACATGTGTCTTTAGTGTAATTTTGGAAGGCAGAGGTGCATAATGACTGGGAACTTCAATTTGCAAAAACAAAGTGAACTACTTTGTGACTTAGTCTAAGGCTCTAAGGCAGGGATCCTCAAACTAAGGCCCGGGGGCCGGATACGGCCCTCCAAGGTCATTTACCCGGCCCCCGGGTAAAATCTAAGGTTAAATCTAAGTTTGAAACGACTTAAAAGCACACAACAACAACAACAACAACAATCCTATCTCATCAGCCAAAAGCGGGCCCGCACTTCCCATTGAAATACTAATAAGTTTATATTTGTTAAAATTGTTCTTCATTTTAATTATTGTATTGTTTTAAAGTGTTTTTGCACTACAAATAAGATATGTGCAGTGTGCATAGGAATTCATTCATGCTTTTTTCAAATTATAATCCAGCCCTCCAACAGTTTGAGGGACTGTGACCTGGCCCTCTGTTTAAAAAGTTTGTGGACCCCTGCTCTAAACCAAAAATTTCATTTTATCTGTAGCCTAAGCAAGCCTGGAAAATGAATGTTTCCCTCAATTTGTCCCATTTTCGAAGTCACAAAGTGAGTAGCACCAGATTTTCTTACAAAGCCACGTACCCTTCTCCAAAGCTCGGGGACAAATCTAATTTGCTTCTTGTTGTATAATAAAAAGCATGAAAAACATTGATACTCTCCTGTCCTATGTCACCATTATTGGTATTTTTCTGCTAAGAAATTCTGGGCATCTTGGGTGAGATTAGTCCAGTTGTTTGGGGTGAAGGCAGGAAGAAAGCAGAAGTATTGAACAAAAGGATTAGGGGACAAGTATTTGTGGCTGCACTCCTGAAAACATTAGGAGCTCATTAAACAGCTTATCCTTTTCCAGCGGTAATTGTTACTTGCTATTTGGGGTGCAGGGACATGTGAACTCCACGCCCAACTCCAGTTGTTGTATAAAATTAAGCAAATTATAGCAGCAACCTAGAATCTGTGTGGTGTCATAACACAACACAACCAAAAACAAAATTTGTGTTGATGTCTTGGTTTTTGGGCCTGTTCCTAGGGTTGTTTCAGGCACTGATTCAGACAATTGCATCAGCTCTAGGTTATGGTTATTATCATGGTTTTCTATGGGTAAGTAGGTGGCGACTGGTAGATGTTCTGTATCTCCAAAACTTGAGCTGATAGGGGAAACTGGTGCCATTTTTGGAATTAGCACGTCAAATATACCCTTTGAAATGTGAGGCACCAAAATGTGTGTTGGCCCGTGTATAATGTTCCTTTACACAGCTTTGTATTGATGCACTCAGCTGTGTTTTCAAAGGCACATATAGACTTCTATTCCATAAAATGCCAAATAGTTACGTGATGTTTAAAAATCATATATTATGTATTGGCTTTTTCCATATGCACTCTGATTCAGTACAAGGTACACAGAGTTGTGAAAAAAGAGTGTAGTGCATTGTCGAAGGCTTTCATGGCCGGAATGTTCTAGAGGCATTCTCTCCTGACGTTTCGTCTGCATCTATGGCAAGCTTTACCTCACTACCTCTGAGGATGCTTGCCATAGATGCAGGCGAAACGTCAAGAGAGAATGCCTCTAGAACATGGCCATATAGCCCGAAAAAACCTACAACAACCCAAAGAGTGTAGTGACACCTTAAAGATGAACTTGGTTTTATTTGGCATAACTTTTTGTGGACTGCAGTCCATGAATGTGCATGCCTACTAAAAATTATTAGTGCTGAAGATACCTTTAGGCTTTATTGTTTCTGCTTCAGCAGAAACATTACATGCCGTCATTCTTCCACATTTGTGGTTTGACTTTTAAAAATTTGGTTATTTATGGATTTGATTTTAAATGTTCTCTCTAGAATTAACTTCCATCAGTTGTGCTGGCAAACCTAGAGGATTTTTAGAACAATTATTTGAGTTTTTTTCCACTTTAAGGGGATGCTGTGCCCCTAACTCCAGTGAATGTGGCGTACATCTAGTTGACTTAGTTGTTCAGAGCAAGCTAGTCAGAACTGTTAAATGTGCATTTCTTGCTAAGATATTTTTACAGCTAATCTAATTCCATTTTTCCACCACTTAGGGACAGTTCATCTAGTTTTGATCCTATAGTTTTTGTTTTAGTTGGTCAAGTTGATTGTAGTACTCTAGTTTGTGTGAGACTACAGAATTTGCCCACCAGATGGCAGCAATTACATTGTGTATCTTCAGCATTCACTCTTTAGACATCAATTGTGTAATATGTACACATCTTTCAAGGTACTAAAGCAGCGGCTGTTTGGTATTTTCTTCCCCCTAAAAGTTAATATTAGTTGTTATGCCATTAACCGCTTCTAATTCTGTTGATAGGTTAATTATAATTTAAACTTTTGTATGATACGATTTTTAGCTATTTTAACATTTGTAGGTTGCTTTCTGTCCCAGACTGGGGAAAAGATGGGCTATGAATAAATGAAAGTAGTAGTGGTAGTAAGAAATGGCAGTTCTATCTGGAAAGGGTGGGCTGGGTTAATATTTTGTTCTTTAATGAGGCACCTCACAATTTAAACATTTCTGCAAATCTTGTTATAAACTCATTTCAGCAAAGCAGGAAAGAAGTTGGCCCAGGGTTACTCCCATGTGCCAGTGGATCTTTCACAGGGTTTATCATTTTGACCTCTAACATAATGATTGGTTTGTTAAATACATTGTTTTGTTGCTGTTTTTGTATGTTCAATGTATTTTTGACTTGTGGTGACATTAAGGTGAATATTTCATGGGATTGTCTTGGCAAAATTTGTTTGGAGGAGGGATTGCCTTTGCCTTCCTCTGAGGCTAAGAGAGTATGACTTGATTAAGGTCATCCAATGGGTTTCTGTGGCAGAATGAGGATTCAAACCCTGGTCTCCAGAGTCCTAGTCCAGCATCCAATCTACTGTGCCATGATATTTATCCATTTGATTAATTTTATTTTAAATTATAAAATAAAACTAAGTATAAAGTATGATACCATACTAATAAATATTGTAAAATACTGTAATCTGTTATTAACACCATGGAAAGGCAGTTTTCAACCTGCATTAAAACAGATTTTATCAGTTCCTTGCCTTGTTAACAACGAGTATGTCTTTTTCTTGCAGCTCTAATGGAACTGTTATTAATAAACAGAAATTGGTGAAGAAGCAGGTTTGCCCTTTGCAGACTGGAGATGTGATCTATGTTGTTTACAGGAAGAATGAGCCAGAAAACAGTAAGGAAATTTCTTTTTATTCAACTCTTAGCAGTGGCAGGGAAAGTGTGGGTTTCAAGCAAATTTGGACAGGCTGCTCTGCTTTGGACAGGCTGCTCTGCTTAAGAAGTGACTGAAAGAACATTCGGCCTTTCTTAAAATGTAGATATGATGGAGCACTTCTGTTTGTGCTAGACCTTGTCCTGGGTCAAAGTGCCTCATCTTAGACAGAGAAGGGAAAGAGCTGGGCCATATAGTGTGTGATCCCCTTATCCATGTGGAATACACTTGATCTTAGCCAAAATACCGAGAAACAAAGAAAATTTCAAGAGAGGTATTGAAATCTTCCAATATGCTTTTAGTTCAGGGGTGGATAATTTCTCAAGACCCATGGGCCACCTATGACCTTCAGTCAACCTCCAGGGTCTGATTGCTAAATTCAGGAAAATAATGTAGTCCCCAAAGGAGAAAATCAAATCTCCAGTGGTGGTGGGGGGGGGGTTGTCCTGTAAATATTTAGTTCTCTTTCTTTGACTGTTTTCAGTTAAAACACCTTCTCAGAGTTAGGATCAGACCGGCATGTAGAGGGCGAATGCCCCTTGAGGCTCAGTTTAGCATTTCAGGGACCCAACTTCAGGTCTGGATCCCATACCTGTATTTTAATGCACATTGAAATCCCCCTTTCCCTGATAAAAAAGCCTTAAAGTGAACAATTTGTGGGTCAGACTTGGAGTTCCACCAAGAGTGTCTAACTTATTTTCATTGAGTGCCACATTAGTTTTATGGTTGCCTTCAAAGGGCCGTTGAATCCATTGACGGAGAACCTGAGGAGACAGAGAGAAGACCAATATATTATTTTGTTTGCATTGTGTTCAGTGCTCTCTAGTTTTTATCCAATTTTGGTCTACAGGTGTTACTGAATGACAGATCTCATCACTTTTTTTAAAAAAAATAGTCTTTATTCAAGGTTTTTCCAATTTTTGTAACAAACAACTATACACACTTACGCATGAAACACTTAGACACTTGTACAAAAAACTAGCTTGGGGGGGGATGGGGGGAGGGGGAGAGAGAGGTAAGTTGAGGGGAGGGAAAGGGGAAAATCGGTGGGGAAGGGATGAAGGGAGGGGTGATCAGTGACATAGAAAAATCTGAGAAAGACATTCCTTCAGAATAATACATACATACATCAATCCAAGAACAACAGACGATAATCCGCAACAGTTGGGCTTCCCAAAGTGAGTTCAGCAGGATAATTTGATATAAACAGGCGTGGAAAATGAAAAAATACATATTTCTGTGTCAACTATGCAGCTTCCCTAGTCTCCTAGAGTGATGTTTTTCCTCTCCCTTAGATAACACCTGAACGGCTGCCAGTCGATCCTGTATTTCTTGCTGGTATCGTATGTCATAGTCGCTAGTGTATCCAAGTCCATTAAATCTCTAATCTTTAGAAGCCAAGTGTCAATTGTTGGTATCTCCTTGGTCTTCCACTTGCTAGCAAGGACTATTCTTGCAGCTGCAGAAAAATGAAACAATAACATATCCTTATTATGATCTAACTGGAAATCTAACAGGTGTAACAGAAAATATTCCGCTCTCAACTCCATTTTTATCTGCAAAATCCTCTGCACTTCCCTGTGTACCTCCCGCCAGAAGCACCTGACTCTTCTACACTGCCACCAGGTGTGGTAATGAGAGCCTAAATGGCACCCACACTTCCAACAGTCACTGTTGGCACCTTTATAGAATTTCGCCATCTTTTGAGGTGTCAGGTACCATCGATGGAAGACTTTTTGCCAATTTTCTGTTATATTAGCGGATTTTGCAAATTTTAGTTTTCCTTTCCATATGGACTCCCACTCGCTGAGAAGAATGGAGTGTCCGAAATCGGTTGCCCAGTTGATCATGTTCTCTTTAACAACTTCCGTTTCAGTCTCCCACTCTAGCAACTTCAGGTATAGAGCTCTTACCACTTTTTTGTCTTTTCCCATAATTGTGTCCCACAATGACTCTAGAGGGGAAAAGTCCTTTTTTTTATCTGCCCTATAGCAGTCTGCTATTTGCATATAATGGAGCCAGGATAGCTTCTCGTCCATCTCTCGCAAGGAGTCTAAAGAATTCAGTTTCCATTGGCCCTCTCTTCTTTCCAGAAGATCTTTGTAAGTGTGCCATCTTTCATGTGGTATTTCTCTTTTGTGTACTGCTTCGAGGGGGGGACAACCAGAGGGGGGTTTTACAGTATAGTTTCGCCTTATGTTTCTCCCAGACCTTCAGCAACGCGGCTCTTATGAAATGATTAGTAAAGTTTTTTTCTATTTTGGCCTTGTCGTGCCACATATACGCGTGCCATCCTCTTCTGATGTTGAAACCTTCGAGGTTTAGGAGTCTTTTCTTTTTTAGTGTTGACCATTCCTTGACCCAGGATAGGGCGCAGGCCTCGTAGTATAATTGAAGGCTAGGGAGGCCGAAGCCTCCTCTCTCCTGTGCGTCTATCATTATTTTGTATTTAACTCTTGCCTTCTTCCCGCACCAGATGAATTTCATTATGTCTTTTTTCCATTGGATGAAGAGATGATTGGTTCTGATCACCGGTATCGTCTGGAAAAGGAAGATCATTCTTGGGAGGAGATTCATCTTGATGAGGGCAATTCTGCCCAGGAGGCTTAGATTTAAATGCCTCCATCCTTCCAGCTTTTTCCGTATTTCATTCCATGTTTGCTCAAAGTTATTCTTTACCAGTTGGGAATTGTTCGGTGTGAGGTTGATCCCCAAATATCTTATCTTCTTGGTTATACTAATCTTTGAGATGTTCTCTAATCTGAGCCTCTTCTCTTTATCCATGTTTTTCGTTAGAATTTTCGTCTTCGTTCTGTTAACTTTGAACCCCGACACCTTCCCGTATTCTTCTATCTTTTCCATCCATTTTTGAATTGTTTCGGTTGGATTTTCTATTATGCACACTATGTCGTCGGCATAGGCTTTTATTTTAAATTCATCCTTCCTGATTCTGGTTCCTCTGAGTTCGCTGTCCCTCCTGATGCCTTCTAGAAGGATTTCCAGGGACATGATGAACAGCAGAGGGGACAGGGGGCAGCCCTGTCTGGTGCCTTTCTCCACTTTGATCTTCTCTGTTTGATGGCCGTTTATCCTTATCCTTGCATTCTGCTTTGAGTAGATCGTTTCTAGTGTATTTATAAACTGAAAACCCATGTCCTTCTCTCTTGCAAGTTGTGACATAAAGTCCCAGTTGATTCGATCAAAAGCTTTTTCTGCATCTAGAAACAGAAGTCCAAGTTCTTTTTGAGGGTTGGCCTCATAATATTCCAATATATTAATTACGGTCCTGATGTTTTCGTGCATCTGTCTTTTAGGGAGGAATCCCGTTTGGTCCTCATGGATTGTCTCATTGAGAAAGGTTTTTACTCTGTTGGCTATAATCCTCGTGAATATTTTATAATCGTTATTTAGGAGGGAGATTGGCCTGTAATTCCTCACGTTGTCTTCTTCTGTGTCCTCCTTATGAATTAGGGTAATCGTTGCCTCCTGCCAGGATTCAGGCATCTTTGCTTGTGAGAGGATGTTGTTATAGACTTCCTTCAGGTGTGGTGTTAACAATTCTTGAAATTTCTTATAGTATGCGGCCGTTATTCCGTCGGGCCCAGGGGCTTTATTGTTGGGGAGATCTCTAATGGCTTCGTTGATCTCTGATTCCTCAATGGGCTTGTTGAGATTAAGTCTTTGTTCATCCGATATCTTTTCTAGTTTAAGGGTCCCCAGATACTCAGATACCTCTTCTGTTGTGATGTCATCCTTCTTATACAGTTCGCTATAGAACTCCTTAAATTGGGTTCTAATCTCTTCCTCCGTGTGGCAACTTACCCCGTCCTTTGTTATCTTAGATATATGCTGTTGTTGCTTCCTTTTCTGGATCTTCCTTGCCAGTAGTTTTCCTGGTTTGTTGGCGAACATGTAATATCTTGCTTTGATGTATTTTAGGTTTTTGGCCATCAGCTCGAGTTGAGTCGAGTTTAGCTGTTTTCTTAGAAACTCTAACTCCAATTTTACTTTCTTGTTGTTTGGTTTCTTCTTTAGTAGAGTTTCTTTTTCTTCTATTTTTTTTGTAAGAGTGCTGTTTCCTCGTTCCTTTTTCTATTCCGAATCGCCCCCTGCTGTATAAATTGCCCGCGCATGTACGCTTTGCTGGTGTCCCACACCACCTCTAATTTGGTTCCCTGGTTTGCATTTAGTTCAAAAAATTCTTTGATAAGTTTTTTGTTATACTCCAGGGCTTTTTCTGCTTTTATCAGAAATTCATTTAACTTCCAAGTTCTCTGGTGGCTCCCCCCTTTGATTTCAATTACCAGGGGGCAGTGGTCCGTGATAGTTCTGGGCAGAATTTTGGTCCTGCTTATCTTGGTTGTCAGTTCATTAGTGACCCAGCACATATCTATCCTGGACCAGGTGGCGTGCCTATTACAGTAAAAAGTGTAATCTCTCCCATTAGGGTTTCTTTCTCTCCAAATATCCTGGAGAAAAAGTTCTCTCTTCATTTGAAAGAAGTTGCCCGGGAGTCTACCCCCGTTTAAATTTCCCCTGTTCCTTTTCGATTTATCCAGCCCACAATCAACCACACCGTTGAAATCACCAACAATAATTAGGTTCCTAAAAGTCTGTTCCCTCACTTTACTCCTCAGGGTCTTAATAAATTTTGTTTTAGGTCCTGTGGGGGCGTAGATGTTACATATGAGGGTGTCTTGGTCATTAATTTTTGTTTTGATTCCTATCATTCTGCCCTCCTCATCCTTAAATGCTAATGATGTCACCCCGGGGTCCCTGACGTAGATTACCACCCCTCTTTTCTTTTGTGGCGCTAAGGAGTGAAATTCTTTGCCCAGTTGCGGTTGTACTAGGTATTTACTGTGTTTCGCTACTATGTGAACTTCCTGCAAGGCGATAAAATCAAATTTATCTTTTTTCAGAGAGCTAAAAATTAAATCCCTTTTTTTGGGAGCATTCATACCGTTCACGTTATTGGAGTATATTTTCGTCTCCTTCATCTTTCTTGTCATGTGTGTTCGGTTCTGAAGGTCCCACTCCTTTTTCCGTGTCTTCCTCCTCCGTTGATTCTTGTCTTTGTCTTTTCTTTTCCTGTTTCCTCCAGGCTTTTCCTTTCAGCTTCTCATTACAGGGGTTTTCGCCTAGTTTGGCTGGTTGTTCGGTGTTCACTGAGGCTGATGGTAGCGCCAATTCTAGATCTCTTATAAATTTCTTGTGGAATTCCTTCGCCTTTTCCTCCGAGGTCAGCCAAAATTTGTTCTCTTTGTATGTTACTAGGATCCCTTCCAGCCGCTCCCATCTGAATTTGATTTTGTGTTTCTTCAGCTCGTCCGTTAGGAAGTAATATTTTTTCCTTTTGTTCATCGAAATTGCTGAGAACTCCTTGAGGATTATGACTTTTTGGCCGTGGTAAAAGGATTGTTCTTTGTGTTTCGTTTTTATCACCTTGTCTCGGACACTCTTCCTGCTAAGTTTGACCACAATGTCCCTGGGGGCATTGTTCCTCTTTGCAAAATTAGAGTTAATCCTATGAAGCGTGTCTATTTCTTTGTTCATTTCACTGGTAGAGATGTTCAATATTCCGGCCAAGATCTCACTAACAATCAGTCTCAAGTTTTCTCCTTCTTCTTCCTCAATATTCCTAAGTCTGAGTTGGGCATCCGTTTCCTTACTGGCCAACACTTCTTGTTGTTTCTCTAGCCTTTCGTTTACTTCCTCCATTTTCTTCAGTCTAGCCTCTGTTCTCCCTTGTGTCTTCTTTAAACTTATATTTTCTTTCTTAAGAGCTTTTATCTCTTCTTTGGTTTCATCCACCTCTTTTTTAATAGTCTCCATGTCGTCCTTCAGCTCTTGCCTTAACTTCCCCAGTTCTTTTTGAAAGAGTTTTTCGATGTTTTTCTGAGTTTTCTCTTGGTTGTCTTCTATCTTCTTTTCTATTTTTTCCTGTATTTTAAGCATTTCTGTCATAATGTCCTTGAGGGAAATCTCTTCCTGCGTGGAAAGCCTCCTAGCTGGAGTGGGTGTGACTGCCGTCAATATTGGTACTGTTGGTACTGTTGTTGTTATCATCACGTTTGGAGTCTTGGTCTGCTTCACATTCTGCTTGTCCGTCTTGTTGTCTACCATCCTGGTTCTCTGGTCCTTTTGGCTGCCCTCTGCCCTCTCCTTTTCTCCTCCGATGTCGGTAAGGGAAAGGATTATTTCCTTAATATAGTCTTATTGGATCTTTTCAGTGTCCTCCTTCTGTTTCTCTTAAGTTTCTTCACTACTCGTTCTCCTTCTACTTCACCTTCTTCTTACCAGTTCTTTATCACGCTCGGCTCAGCCTGTCGGCTCTCTTCTTTCTGAGCTCCCCTGCTATCTCTGCATTCCTCTTTATGCTTTCCTTCTGACCCTCATATCTTCCCCGCCCAGTCTGAATTCCCTCCACCTTTTCCACTCACCCCTGTGTGCCTCTTCTTGTCTTCTTGTCTTTCTTGGTCTTTCTTAATCTTAACCTTCCCCTCCAGCCGTAGGCCTCCATTTCCTGGCGCTGGCTTCGGCAGGGCTGCTGGGCTTCTTGTGCGCCCTCCTGCGCACGCGCGATCTCGCGGGGTTTGGCAAGACCTCTGCTCGCGCGGGGCGTTTCCGGCCGAGCGCTCCTGCGTCCGACGTCCCGGTCGGCCGTGCCGCACGTCTCCGCTCTTCGCTCCAGTCTTGGGAGCCGAGTTAAAGGTACCGCGACTTATTTTGCAGCGGCTGGGGTTAGGACGGGGAAGTTTAGAGGGCTAGGGTGGAGGGTGGAGGCGGGTGAGGGAAGGCTAGAGGGGAGAGGGGGTTTGTTGGCTGAGCATTCTGGGGGCATAGGCTGGCTTGGCAGATAAGCAGTTGGGCAGGTAGCTCTTTCTCGCTCCCCTCTACCTCACTGGTTAGGGCTTACCGTGCTTCACCAGCAGGATCGGCCTCGGTCGTTAGGCCTAAACATGTACACAACCGGCGTTCCTTTCTTCTTACTTTTGTGCTTTCCAGGGAGCTGCGCTGTTTTCCTGCTGCCACTTTTGTTCTCTTTAGTACTTTTGTTATTTTTCGTTTCTTCTTTGATTAAAATGGAGGCTGGCGAACTCTACGGTTCTTCCGAACCGTGCTTTCCCCCTGGGTGCTAGCCCTCGATTCCGCCAGGTGGGGTTTGCAGTCACTCTTGGGGAGAGACTGCTCATACCCACCCCCGCAGGTCCTCAAATGGGCTTCGCTAGCAGGCTGACCTCGAGTCCATCAGCCTGAGGGGTCTTGACTGCCCCTTTCCCCGTCTGGGGGATGCACAGGCCTCTCAGGCTCATGGAGCCTCAAAAACCTGCAGCCGCCGCCATTGCGCCTCCACCGGAAGTCCAGATCGGAGATCCCATCACTTTTGATGATCTGCCATGCAGACTGGGGTTAATGAGAATTGTAGTCCAACAGCCCTTGTGACTTTGAGGCTGGGGAAAGGTTAAAGGACATTTTAAAATCAGACATCCTATCCACAAGCCTTGTATACAAATCCGAGCCCCACTCTCCTGACAAAACGGGGGCCTTCCAAATGTGATTGTACCCCAACCCCCAACAGTTCTAGTCATGATGTCTAATGATGAGGAATTCAGGAGTTGCAGTCCAGTATCTGGAGGGCCACATAAAAGGGTATGGAGAGCTGGATTCCGCCCTTGGGCTTTGAATTTAACACATGTGCATTAGTGGTTCAGTGTAGTAGATTTGAGAAAGATTTATAATATGGGGAGCAGTTATGTGAGAAGGCCCATCCTGCCTCTAAGGGACTTAACTCATCTTATCTTCTTTCAGATGTTGCGTATCTTTATGAATCTTTATACCCTAGACAGGACCGAGCCAATGACCCAGTAGGTAAGTAAAATGGTTAATTCAGGAGCAGCAGAAGGTGGGGAGATGGTCCATTGGAATTACTTTCCTCCTTTCTCAGACTGCCTGTCTGGGCAGAGAGTCCTGAAAAGTTCTTCCTCTAATGTTTTGGAAATCACCTTTCCATTTATTCTCCGCACAGAACCCAATGTTGAAAGTATGTGCCATGTGACCAAAGATACCTCAAGGACCGGGCAAAGTGATGACAAGACCTCAGTTGCATTGTCTGTGCCAGCTAGTCAAGCTAATAATGATGATGAACCACAGCCATCCACTTCTACATCAAACCTCTTTAATGCTGCGTCTACCTCTCTCACTGAGTCCGTAGCCACTGTACTGGAGAATCCCTCAACATCTTGTAAAGGTCTGGCCTTCTTGGGTTGCTCTTTTCTTGATCTGGTCTTTTGTCAGCCCTAGAGGCTTTTTGCCTTGAGCATAGACAGCAAACATTGCTCTTGCTCCATACCTCATTTCAAGCTGAATAGTATCCAAAGTCACCCAGGGTTTTGTTTTGTTTGGGGGTTTTTTTTTTTTTGCTGTTGATGCCAAAAAAAAAAATCTCATGAGCATGTCTGCTTGGCAGCAAAAAGCAGTATCTATACATTATTTAGTAGTTTCCTCTAGTTCTGATATCATCAATTGAAATAACTGTGTGATCTGTTAAAAGGCACTGTTATGTCACAAATTCTGGTGCGTATATTTGGTGTTGGACTCGTTGTTCAATCTGTCGATGTTTCCTCTCAGTTCTATCAAGACTTAGGTCCAAGGACTCTTCTTCCTCATTGCTTAATATTTTCAAAGGAGCAGATAAGGACTTGTTTCCTATAACTATATCCAAGAATCCGTTAGCAGTTAGAATGACAAACATTGAAATCAAGTCGGAGATATTCACTGTTTCCACACCACCAAACAGTTTGTCAATCCTGAGCTGCATGTGGATCTTGCTTTGTCTGGCAGTCCCAAAGCTTGTTCTAGAGCATTTTTAATTCCCAATTTGTGGATTAGCACCAGTTGATACCAGGGAAGGAACACAGGTTCATAACAGTGTAATATTCCCCAATGTTTGAAGTTCTTCTGTTTCCAAACTATGATAGTTTACTTCTATCATAATTGGTGATAGGCCTGAATAGTGAAAACAAATGACCAGAGTTACCAATGAGGAAAAAGAGAAGGAAAATGCTGCGTAGCACTGGGGGAAATAATTGGCTAAAAAAACCCCTGATATTGGGCAGAATTGAGGAAAAAGGAAAGGAAAGGCAACAAAAATACTGGAGCTCAATTAATTGCCTCCTAAAATGCTGCCATCATATTTGTTCAAATTATTTATTTATTTATTTATTTCCTGTACTTCTACCCCGCCCTTCTCAACCCCCGAGGGAGGACTCAGGGCGGCTTACAAAAAGGCACAATTCGATGCCTACACAATAATACAAATAAACATGTAAATCAGCAATTAAAACAATTAAGACAGTTAAAACAATCAATATATATCACAGTCAATAAACCAATCTCAAGCTCAGCGTTCGCCAACTCAGAGTCCATATTTCGTTCTACATTATCTATTCCTATGCTCCCTGTATGACGCTCCGGTGACTAATCTGGCTGCCTCCCGCTGGACTAATTGAAGGTTCCGAACAGTCTTCAAACCCCACGTAGAGTGCGTTGCAGTAATCTAATCTCAGGATGTAACAAGAGTGTGGACCACTGTGGCCAGATCCAACTTCCTAAGGTACGGGCGCAACTGGCGCACAAGTTTTAGTTGTGCAAAAGCTCTCCCGGCCACCACTGAAACCTGGGGTTCCAGGCTCAGCAATGAGTCCAGGATCACTCCCAAGCTGCGAACCTGCGTCTTCAGGGGGAGTGTAACCCCATCTAACACAGGCTGTAACCTATGCCCTGTTCGGCCTTACGACTGACCAGTAGGACCTCTGTCTTGTCTGGATTCAATTTCAATTTGTTAGCTCTCATCCAGTCCGACACAGCAGCCAAGCATCAGTTCAAGGTCTGACAGCCTCCTTAGTAGCAGGTGGGAAAGGAGTGACAGATTTGGACGTCATCTGTACAGATAACACTCTCCGAAACTCCGGATGATCTCCCCAGCGGCTTCATGTAGATGTTAAATAACATCGGGGACAGAATTGAACCCTGTGGGACTCCACACAACGGTTGTGGGGCCGAACAGGTGTCACCCAATAACACCTTCTGGGACCGTCCCTCAAGAAAGGATCAGAGCCATTGCAGAGCAGTGCCCCCGAGCCCCATATCTATGAGGCGCCCCAGAAGGATACCGTGATCGACGGTATCGAAGGCCGCTGAGAGGTCCAGCAGAACTAACAGGGACACACTCCCCTGTCTAGCTCCCTGCGAAGATCATCTACCAAGGCGACCAAGGCTGTTTCCGTTCCATGTCCCGGTCTAAAGCCAGACTGTGCTGGATCTAGATAATCAGTGTCTACCAGAAATCCCTGGAGTTGTGTTGACACCACACGTTCCATGACTTTGCCCAAATAGGGGAGATTGGAACTGGCCGATAGTTGTCTAATTGAGTGGATCCAGTGATGGTTTTTCAACAGCGGTTTTATAAGAGCTTAAGCTTGCTGGAAACTTTCCTTCCTGGAAGGAGGCATTAACTATCACCTTCACCCACTCTGCCAAACCCCCTCTGGCTTCTTTTATCAGCCAGGATGAACAGGGGTCTAGGATGCATGTGGTGGGTCGCACCTCTCCAAGGATCCTGTCCACATCCTCAAGCTGAACCAATTGAAATGAATCCAACAAAACTATATCTAAAACCTGTTGCCTGAGGCAGGAGCCTCACTACCCCATGTCAAGTTTTAGTCCTATACTGAAGCACTACTTCATCAAGAATGGGGGTTAATAACATAGCCCAACAAAAAGAAATCCCTTGGTGCCATGGTTTTTAGGCCTATTCCTGGGATTATTTGTGGCACTGATTCAGAAAATGGCATTCAATGGACCACAGTTAGTTTTTTTTTAGATATGGTTATTCTGGTTTTCTATGAGTGAGCAGTTGTTTACTAGTAGATGGCATATGTTCTGTATATCAAAAACTAGATAAACTCTAGTTTATAACTAGAGTGCATGGGGGAAACAGGTGCTATTTTTTGGAATCAATAGGTCAAATATACTCAGAAACAGGTCTAACATTGAGGCATCAAAATTTGTGTCGGCCAGTGGATTGCAATCCAGCCTAGACTTTGTTGCAAGAGGGGTGAGCAGATTCTCCTTTTTTCTGGTGCCCTTCAAATCTCAAGCATGCTGTATGTTATAATTCTTTATGCTGTTGATTGAAATTGCTCTGTCTAATGCTTGCCTGCATTGGGCATTGCAGAACCTTTCCGCTCATGCACCATGCTTTCCATTTTTGCAGGGCTGCAATCGCTCCTCTTCGTTGCTGCACCCACTTTGCCTACCTGCCCACCATTTGGTCCTGAACCATCACTTGAACCTAAACAGCCAAACATTTCTGGTATTTCTTCAGGGGACAAAGGAAACAAACTGTTGGCTGTGACTGAGCTTAAAAGCAGGGATGAAGGGGGTTTGGAGCCTCCAAGAAAGAAAACAAAAGGAGGTTGGTTGGCAACATTTTCTAAGAGAAAGACCAGACTGATTATCTTCCCCTCCCAGCATGTCATTCTAGCAATTGCACATAGGAGTTGGCATAATCCTGTCTCAACATCTCATAGAAAGATGAACACTTAGGAGGCCTTTGCTGTTAATATGTCTGGAACATAGGAAGTTGCCTTATGCTTAACCACACCTTTCAGCCATCTAGTTTCATATTATCATACCTAAATAACAGGGTTTTCCGCAGAATGCTTTCCTAGCCCTGACTCAGGTTGCTTGGTATTCTCTGATAATTTCCAACAAATTAAGTAAATTGGGTCTCTGTAGCTCAATGTTGGGGTCTCAAAAGGCTCCCCCCCCCCTAGTAGGAGCAGATAGAGAAATCTGAGCATGATGTAACTCAGTCTTCTTTGGCCCCCATCTTATGCTTTTGCTAAGCAGGAGAAAATCCCTGTCCCTCCATACGTGTGTGGCCCCATGCCTGCAAAGTAGGTTGAGCAACAATGGATTGTAGCTGATTGTATCTTTGCATGACTCTCTTTTGCCATGATGCTTGCAGGTGGTGATACTAGCTCGTATCTTCAGGTGATTACTCCAACTGAATGTTTAACTAAAACAGGCACTGAAAGCACCAAGGCAGTGAATGTGAAGCCAGACAAAATGGAAGAAACACTCACTTGCATCATCTGCCAAGAATTGCTGCACGACTGTGTCAGGTATGAGTTGTTGGAGGCCAAACCAGATGTGGTGGCATCAACATCTTCAGACTGGTGCTTTGCTGGATTCCCATAGAGTCTGAGAGTGTGGTTGATATGTTGCACAGGATTTAATTCACATTAATGATACGCGAAAAGGGGGTGCTGAATTTTCCCACTCTGTTCACTTTTTTTCTCCTAGTGGAGTCCAAGTAGAGCTGACATTTAATAGGATTTGAAAATGGGAAGAAGCATGCATATACATGCAGCTCCTCAGTACAAATATCCAACTTACAAGTGACTCATAGTTCAGAACAGGGGTAAGACAACAAGAAGTGTGAGAAATCTACCCCTCGTAAGGGAAATTCATTCCTGGAAGAGTTATCATGGGGAAAAGGTGTCTCCACTGAAGCTTTCTCTCCAGTCCTTATTTCCACAGCAAGCCAATTTTTTTCAAAATCCAGTTATCACAGGGACAAAAAGTGTGGTGAAATCTTCTGAACAGAGGCACACACAGCAAAACAAACAAACACCACAGGGGTGCTAACCCTTTCCTATGCTATCAAAGCTATTATTTATTTATTTATTTATTTATTTATTTATTTATTTATTTGCTGGAGATACACTTTAAAAATGGGCCTGTTTCAACTTACAAACAAATTCATCTTAAGAACAAACCTACAGAACCTATCTTGTTTGTGACTTGAGGGTTGCCTGTACTGGTATGGAGTTAGAACAATCCAGAGAGGGTTTAATATTGCTGCTGTCAAGGAGCTTGTTTTCAGACTACACTGCTCTTGAACCGAGTTCCTAGAGCCCGAATATTGGTGGTTCATTCATCTTAAGCACATGTAGTCCCTAGGTTATGAACAAGATAGGTTCTGTAGGTTTGTTCTTAATCTGAATTTGTATGTAATACAGAAGCAGGTATGTTGGTAATATAAAGAAAAGTCCAGTAAGGTTGTTGCTTATTTTGAAACTGTTGGAGTATATCCTTATGTGAATTTGCAAGAAGTAGGACAAGGGATATGGTTTGCTTCCAATCCTCCAAATCATATCTAAATGGAGCGATGGGTCTTCTGATCCTGCAATTGGTTTTTCCCATTCCTGCTGCCTTGGTGTGTTCAGCTTCATAAATCCCTAGTTCGACTGAGCCACAGGTTGCTGTGCAAATAAGTAAGACATGTTTTGAGTGAACATTCCATAGTAGGGCTTGTTTCTGTCTTTCCACACTATAATATGCAAGATCAGAAATGTCACACACTGTTGCTGAGAAATCTCTGCCTTCTCTATCCCAGTTCCAAGGACCTTGTAATCCTTTTCTTTAATCCTTTTAATCTTCTTTCTCTAGTTTGCAGCCCTGCATGCATACTTTCTGTGCAGCTTGTTACTCAGGATGGATGGAGCGATCCTCTCTCTGCCCAACGTGCCGTTGTCCAGTGGAACGTATCTGTAAAAACCATATTTTGAACAACTTGGTGGAAGCTTATCTCACCCAACATCCAGGCAAGTGGGAAATGTTTTTACATCTATTGTAAAGACAGGGATGGCTACAGTTCCCTTGCTGCAGCAGTACCACAAGTTGCTGCCGGTTTGGAAGTAGCTGTGGGTTGAATACACGCTACCTGAAGGACCATACCTACCTTTATGAGCCTCTAAGATCATAGGCAAAAGGGGTGTCTTTCAGTGCCATGACCTTCCCAGGCATTATTGGTGGGAACAAGGGAGACAGGGTGCTTTGAAACTCACCAAGGTGGCTAGGATGCCTCTGTCCTTGCTCTGCTTCCACCAACAAGGAAAAACATCTCTTCCAACAGCATTCTAAGAATTAACTGTAATGAACTTTTAACGTTGTGTTTTGTTTTTGATTTCTGCCTTTTTGTGGATGTACTGTATTTTTATTTGCATTTGTTTTAAACTTTATAAGCCATCTTAGGCCCCAGTATTGGGAGGAAAGACTAGATATACAATAACAGCAATGAAAAGAGGGGACATGAGGGACATGTTTAAATTTTTGAAATGATGGTCTTGTTGAGGATTGGGGCAAACTTTTTTTGCTTCTCTGAAGATTAGGACACACAGCACTGGATTTAATTGCTTGGAAAAAAAGATTCCACCTAAACATTAGGAAGAAGTTCCCGACAGAAAGACTGGTTCATCCATGGAATGTGCTGCCTGGGAGTCTGATGGAGTCTCCTTCCCTGGAGGATTTTTAGGCAGAGGCTGGGTGGCTATCTGTTGGGACGGCTTTGTGTGTTCCTGCCTGGCAGAAAGAGGTTGGAGTGGGTGGCCCTATGGTCTCTTCCAACTCTCAGATTCTATAAATCTTATGACATAACAATCTACAACAGGTCTGCCTAATCTGTGGCCCTCCAGGTGTTTTGGGCTACAGCTCCCAGAATGCCTGACCACTGGATAGCTAGTAGGCCTGGTTGATCAAGAAAAAATTTGGTTCTAAAATCGATTTGTAATTGGGGTGTTTTTTTGTTTCGATATTTAAAATAATTACAAAATTTTCCCAAAAAAAGTTTCGGTATTTACGAAATTTCGTAAATATTTACAAAACATTTTGTAAAGATGGCGGACCCCCGCGCATGCGTAAAAACACTTCCGAAGCTTCGTTATTGGCGCGGGGTCGATTCGTTAAGATAATAACGAATCGATTCGTTAAAGCGACGGACGCGTCTGATTAAATACTTCGTTATTAAATACTTCGTTATTAAATACTTCGTTATTAAATATTTTGTGTTGGCAAAAGGAGCGCACTGGTTGGAACTACACAAATGACAAACGCACACACAGGCAGTCTTTTCTTTTTTAGAATATTTTTTGTTTTTTTAAGAATAAAAGGCAGGTATTTTTAGAAAATATTCAGAAATGGAAAATTAACCAAAAACTGGCCCTGATGTGGACCAAACACAGCCACGAGACAGGGCAATCGAGAGCACACACCAACAGAAGAGTCTTTTTTTTAAGTTTTTTTTTTTTTTTTTTAAGAATAAAAGGCAGGTATTTTTAGAAAATATTCAGAAATGGAAAATTAACCAAAAACTGGCCCTGATATGAAGCAAACACAGCCACGAGACAGGGCAAATGAGAGCACACACCAACAGAAGAGTCTTTTTTTTTTTTTAGAATATTTTTTGTATTTTTTAAGAATAAAAGGCAGGTATTTTTAGAAAATATTCAGAAATGGAAAATTAACCAAAAAATGGCCCTGATGTAGAGCTAACACAGGCAGGAGACAGCAAATGAGAGCACACCAACAGAAGAGTCTTTTCTTTTTTAGAATATTTTTTGTATTTTTTAAGAATAATATTTAAAAATAATATTAAAAAATATTCAAAAATGGAAACTGAACCAAAAAATGGCCCTGATGTAGAGCTAACACAGGCAGGAGACAGCAAATGAGAGCACACAGCAACAGAAGAGTTTTTTTTTTTAGAATATTTTTTGTATTTTTTCAGAATAATATTTAAAAAATAATATTAAAAAATATTCAAAAATGGAAACTGAACCAAAAATGGCCCTGATGTAGAGCTAACACAGGCAGGAGACAGCAAATGAGAGCACACAGCAACAGAAGAGTCTTTTCTTTTTTAGAATATTTTTTGTATTTTTTTAAGAATAAAAAAATAATATTAAAAAATATTCAGAAATGGAAACTGAACCAAAATATGGCCCTGATGTGGACCAAACACAGGCAGGAGACAGCAAATGAGAGCACACAGCAACAGAAGAGTCTTTTCTTTTTTAGAATATTTTTTGTATTTTTTAAGAATAATATTAAAAATATTTAAAATGGAAAATTAACCAAAAAATGGCCCAAATGTGGACCAAACACAGGCAAGAGACAGCAAATGAGAGCAAACACCAACAGAAGAGTCTTTTCTTTTTTAGAATATTTTTTAAAAATAATAGTAAAAAATAATATTAAAAAATAATATTAAAAATAATATTAAAAAATGGAAAATTAACCAAAAACTGGCCCTGATGTGGACCAAACACAGCCACGAGACAGGGCAAGTGAGAGCAAACACCAACAGAAGAGTCTTTTTTTTTTTAGAATATTTTTTGTATTTTTTAAAGAATAAAAATAATATTAAAAAATATTCAAAAATGTAAACTGAACCAAAAAATGGCCCTGATGTGGACCAAACACAGGCAAGAGACAGCAAATGAGAGCACACAGCAACAGAAGAGTCTTTTCTTTTTTAGAATATTTTTTGTATTTTTTAAGAATAATATTAAAATAATATTAAAAATATTCAAAAATGGAAACTGAACCAAAAAATGGCCCTGATGTGGACCAAACACAGGCAGGAGACAGCAAATGAGAGCACACAGCAACAGAAGAGTCTTTTCTTTTTTAGAATATTTTTTGTATTTTTTAAGAATAATATTTAAATAATATTAAAAAATAATATTAAAAAATATTTTAAAATGGAAAATTAAGAAACAAATTCACAAAAACCGAAGGAAGTAATGAATCCAAGCAAGGAATATAAGCAGCACTAAGCACAGCAGCAAGGAATGAATCCAAGCAAGGAATGAATCCAATCCAGTTGCAAGCCAAGCCAAGCCAACCCAATGCAAACCCTCCCGGACCTCTTCTCTCTCCCTCGCCCTCTGCAGCAATGAGCTACGGCCGCGCGGAGCCGCTTTTAAAGGGCTCGCCGGCCAATCAAAAACAGCCACGGTGCACTGCTTGGGAGCGCCGGATTGGCTCCCAGGCACCAGCAGCCTCCATCCCATTAACGAAACGAGCGGAAGCTCGTTAAATCTATGGGGGTTGCCGGTTCGATATTTTTAAACCCTTCCGGGTTTGAAAATGTGTTTTGATATCGCTTCGTAAATGCAAAAATTAACGAATTAATAACGAATTACGAAATTAACGAACGAAACCGCACAGGCCTAATAGCTAGCTAGGGCTTCTGGGAGCTGGAGTCCCAAACACCCGGAGGGCTGTGCAGGCCTGGTCTGGAAGGATCCCTGCTGTTTCTTTTAAAATCCTACAATTGTATACATCAATCAGACAATGACTTCCGGCTTTAGATAAGTGCCGTAACGAAGAGGATATAAAAAGCATGGATGCTCGGAACAAAATCACTCAAGACATGCTACAGCCAAAGGTGCGAAGGTCCTTTTCAGATGAAGAAGGGAGTTCTGAGGATCTGCTGGAACTCTCAGATGTAGATAGTGAATCCTCTGATATTAGGTGAGTGCAGTAATGTCAAAGTGCTTACTTTTGTACAAGATCTAGGCATGCAATTTGGTTGTCATCACTGAATTCATGAGAAATTAATGAGAAATCTGTAATTTTTCAGTGAACATAGCCTTCCAAAAAACCCTATTGATGTCCTCCATGGGGGGAATATTGGATTAGGACTGAAGAGATCTGAGCGCAAACTTGTAGAACCATGAAGTTGCCGGTAGTCCCTGAGACCAAGGAAATTCCCATTTCTTCCATTTTGTAGAAATGAAGTGTTATAAATGCTGGCATAGCAACTATTTCAACCAGAGGTGGGCAACATGTGACCCTCTACTTGTTATTGGCTGCAGTTCTCAGCATTCCCCACTATTGACTGTGCTGGCTATAGCTGTTGGAAGTTGCCATCCAATACCACTGGAAGGCTGTCATCCTAGTTTTTAAGTTATTACTTTGAGCTCCTTGCATTGAATTGTTTACTCTTTTGTCCATTCAGATGTGCTGCTTGTACACCTCCTATGGTCACCATTTGAAATAGGATAGAAGATCCTTATTCCAAACAGTGGTGTCCATGCATTTTTATACACACAAACTAAGTTCTGGTGTGAATTCATTTCAACTCTTATACCCTGCTTCCAGAGACTTAACGATGTCCTTGTTTCCAGTCAGCCATACATTGTGTGCCGACAGTGCCCAGGATATTGTCACCCCCTTTCCTCCCGACACCAAGAAGGAGAAACGGAAGCTGTGCAGGCATTGGGGGATGCCCCCTCTACCTCTGGCAGTTTTCCAGCAGGTCAGTGTGTGGAGGGAAGTTACTCAGGCGTATTTGTCTTGCACTAGTGATCTGCCATTGCTTGCCGCATGCCATGCCACAAGCGTAGGAGAAGATACCTGTGCACAAGTGGTTATCATTATCTTCCCGCAGTCTCCCATGGTGTCTTGTTTTTAAAATGTTGGGATGATCATTTAGAAATGCAAGAATTAAAAGAAGCCTAATGGGCCATCTAGTCCAACCCCTTTCTCAGTGCAGGATCTCCATCTAAAGCATCCTTAGGAGCGCACTGTCCAGCCTCTTTTTCAAGATGTCCAGAGGAGGAGACCATGCCACCTTCTAGACAATTGGTTTCATTACTGAAGAATATATCACTATTGAGATATTCCTCATAACATTTAATCAAAATCTACTCTCTTGTAATTGAAACCATTAGACCTGGCCCTGCCGTCTGGGACAGTGGAAGACAGGTGTGCCCTCTCCTCTCTGTGACATCCCTGGAGGTATTTAAAGTGGGCAATCATGTGGTCATTTGCTTTAGAAAGGCTTCACCTAAATGTTTAGCTTGTCTGGAGGACCGAGAGTAGACCCCCACAATCAGGTTGCTGTTGTTTCTCTCCCCTTTAAAGTTTACCTTTAACTCTCACATGTCAAACTCGTGGGCTGAATCTGTCTTGCCATGTCATTCTTTGCAGCCTTCCAGATGGAGTATCACTCATGCGTTCCTCGTTGTTAGACATTGTCGTGACTAGAGCTGATGGGAGTTGTGAGACAGTAGCATCTGGAAGGCTACAGTTTGTTCTGTTTAGTCAGGAGAGTGGGGTTTGAATTCAGATACAATGCTTGTAGATATGATGTTGAGATACTGGAGAAATTTGTTTGTGTCTATGTACATTTCTGTTTGTTTCCCAATTTTAGCTGTGCAAGAATATGTGTGTCCTTCTCAAGGAAGCCACGTGATATGCACTTGCTGCTTCCAGCCAATGCCGGACCGCAGAGCAGAGCGTGAACTGAATCCACATGTGGCCCCTCAGCAATGTGAGTTGGCAGCCGTTTCATGGGAAATGGATGTCCTTCCCTGTGTTTCTAATTCTTCCCCCCACTCCTTACCCCTTCCATTTCTGATCATAACAGTAGAGTTTGAGCCTTTCCTCTCTGACTGACCAGAAAGTGATATCATGAGAGGGCAGGGCTACTTCTGGAGACCTGAAGTCTCATAGGCAGCGGTTTTCCTTGTTCAGATGCAGGAATTGAATTACATTTAAAATTTTCAAATAGTTACTATTAGTATTACTGGTGGATAGATGGGATAACCTGTTGTTTATTAAAAAAATACTGGAAGGGACATGGATAAATAATAAAATCTTTGGAAGAAATTAAAATAAAATATAGATTTTTAAAAATGTGGGATGGAAGAAATAAGAACATTTAATATGAAGGGGGACTATAACATGATGTTATATCAGGGAAAATTGTTGAAATACGGTAAGATTAATCTACTATTGTATAGTTGTGGCATTGAATATTTACCATTCGGGGTGAGAAGAGCAGGGTAGAAATAAAGTAAATAAATAAAATACTTTCAAAGGAAAAAATGGGGAATGATTGAAATGGGAAATAAAAATGGAATTATAAGGATTGAATTTCAGTAAAAATGTTTACATTAGTTTGTAGTCATATTACTTGTGGGTAGGTTTTAATTTTAAGTACATTTGTTTATGTTTGGCAGAAATTGAAGCAATTCGAATAGATGTAAATTATAACATTTTGATGGATACCTTGTTTGGTGGGGGAGAGAAGTTCAACTGTATTCTTAATGTCTTTTATGTGTTTCTTTATTTAATTTTTAACCGGGGGGGGGGGGGGGGGGGAGGTTGGGGAGGAAGTGTTAAATGTATGTTTGAAAACCCCAGAAAATATTTTGAAAACCAGATGGGGGCAAAAGGGATGAGGGTCTGGAACATAACAGGAATTTCAGGGTAAAGTGTTCATTGATGACTGACAGAGGATTTGGGGACCAGTTCCTATTTAGTATACTGAGTGGTGCCATTTTTTTTCTCTTTGTTTTTGCAGGCACTGTCTGTCTCCAACCCTACTGCCACTTGTACTGGGGCTGCACTCGGGTGGCATGCTTTGGCTGCTTAGCACCATTCTGTGGTAGGCCAGAAGAAGGGCTTTTTAACACGTCTTTTGCCTTTGGTAGCTTTTTTGGGGGGACATTGAAGCACTGACCATTAAAATCTAAAAGGATTTGGTATTTAACTTAACATCACTTGAGTGAATTTTCCTTGAAAAAGGTCACAACCCAGGGTAAATTTGAACATCCTATAACAGGCTCCTAGTTCAGTTAGTAACCATTTAACGGCCCATGCTATTCCAAGAAGCCTCTTGGGGTGGCACTCAATGGGGGCAGCTATTTCAGACAAGTTACAACTATTGCTCTCGTTGTAAGTGAGAACAGTGTCAGGAAAGCATGGGACGAGGTCTTCCAGCCATATGTCCTCCAGGATGCATCACCCCCAAGCATCATGAAAATCATGGGACCATCCCTGGGAAATTGCTTCACTCTTACTATACAGTTCTGCCTGTACTGGCAAAATCCTGGATTTGCAACTTGCATGAGCTCTCCCCACCAGCAGCATTACATTTACAAGATATTTTCCCTACAGCAATGGTTCCCAACCTTTTTTAACCAGGGACCAGCCTCCAACATTAGTACCAGAAGGGTTACAAATCAGTTTTTGGTCAACTTTAGATTTGGTTTGGTTATTGGGGTGCTGATTCAGAAAATTGGATTGGATAGATCACATCAGCTCTAGTTTCTGATACAGAATATATGCTATCCAGTAGTCGCCATCTGCTCACCCACAAAAAAACATATTTAATAATCTAGAGCTGATGCAGTAGTAGTAATCTTTCGTGGGTAGTCAGCCTCTTTATCCCTGTGTCTGAGTGACAGCTGAGAGAGTATTTGTGGGTGAGGAAGAAGACGAGGAAAAAAATAGTAGCACTTTAGCTGTAGACCAGGCGTTGATTTTATTTTATTTATTTTATTTAGACGTAAGCCCCATTGCTTCCAGTGGAGAGTATTCACAATTAAATGTTTACACCAGAACTTTCCGAACTCTGTGTCATCTGCTGTGAAATGCAAAAAGAACACAAGATCTCTGAGCCTCTGTGAAATAAGCAAGATATCATATATTTTCAAAATATAAAAGAAAGATTTCCGTGATATATGTTGTGTCCCCAGCCAGTTCGCTGTATGTGTTCGTATCTCTTATGAGGGGTTTGTTTAATGTTTGGTTTACTAGTAAAACCGAATTATTGTTTTATGAAATGATTCATGCATGTCCAAAAAGGTGTGTCACCATCATGAAATTTTTGGAAAGCTCTGGTCTACATGATTGTGCCCATGTAACATCCTAAAAGGCCTGAAATTATTGATGACAATCATGTGTGTTTTTTCCAAATACATTTCTTTGTAACTAAAAGGCTCTTTGATATTTCTGATTGCAAGCAAATGTGCCTCCCTTTTTTATTTACAGAAATAAACCTCGGTGAGAAGTGCTTAGATGGAATCCTTAATGGCAATAACTACGAATCAGATATTCTAAAGGTATGTTTGATTTTAAAAGTTTTCAGTTAAGACTATATCAGGGTTGATCTTGAAATTATTAGGGTGAGCCTCCACTCTCTGGGGTGTCACTTGTTTCAGCATCCTGTCTGGTTGTCTGCACACAAGACAGTCTAGCAGCCATGTAGTCACCAAATCTCTGTTTGGCTGCTTTCTTTGAGACAGTGAGGAGAGAATGGATCTGTATATCCATTTGGATGGTAGGAAATGTATAATGCTTCTCTTTCTGAGCGAGGTGGTTAAAAACACCCACATACCTCTACTCTGTGCTTCACAGACTACACCTTTTTCCTGTTACAGGATTACCTGGCATCCAGGGGTTTGACATGGAAAAACATATTGAATGACAGTCTCCTAGCTCTTCAGAGAGGAATTTTTATTTTGTCAGGTAAACTGTTATTTTCTGTCCTTAGAAACCATCAAATCGTAAAACAGGATTTTAATTCATCAACCTTCAGTTTTTCAGACCCACGACCCAATTATGTGTTTATTTGTCACATGCACGCATCTTCCTATTTTAGGATCTAGGAAGAAAGTTCCAGTATCTTTCATGAAATTGTGTGTTCTCTCTTGACCATCTGCAACCCCTTTTCCCCTCCATCAGATTATCGAATTACTGGAGAAACAGTGCTCTGTTACTGTTGTGGCCTCCGCAGCTTCCGAGAGCTGGCTTATCAGTACAGACAGAATATTCCTGTTGCTGAATTGCCAGGTATATAAAAATACATATTTAAATAATTGGCCACAGTCCCAATAATAAAAGTTTGTTTAATGTGTGTCTTATGATCCCGTTTTTGCCATATATGACCTTACTTCTGCATAGCAAGTATATCATGAGTGTTCCTTTTTTGTATTGGCAAGTGGGTTATGCATGAGATTACTGTATCTCTGTATGGATGTAATGCTGCAAATTAATACATGCATCATGTATGACCTGATATTTGCCATGACAGCATTATCATTTGTAATTCAAAATGCACATTTTTGTTTGATCCTTCCAACCAATAATTATATGGCCTTTGGTATCAATTAGTTGCTTGTTCATTATTGTTATTCTCATTTATGCTCATTGAGCCATCCCATCATCTCTGTTAGCCTTTAAGAAGTCTCAGTTGTGGCTCATGTGTCTGTTTTTTCTTGCAGTGACTGTCACCGCACGTCCCGATTGTTACTGGGGGCGCAACTGTCGGACTCAGGTCAAAGCACACCATGCTATGTGAGTTGCCCCTCAACTCCTGCTCCTTTCAATTTTTTCTTTAAAACCATTCACATTTCAGATTGCATTCTCAAGAAGAAGAAAAAAAATGCAGAACAGTTCTGGGTATAGTATGTGATAATAGTTGCCATCATCAACCTCTAACCATGACTTATCTTTTTTTATATAGATTATTTTTTATTTTTAAATTTTCATATTTATCTAAAAGAACGATAAAAATCTATACAGGTATATATACATAAGCAAATGTAGTATTTCCTACCATCTATGCATTTATTTATCGTGTCAGAAGCAAATTGAGAATACAATTATAATGTATAGAAAAACCACAAAACAAAGTAAAAAACTTGGCATTATACTAAATTTCCTTTGACCAGAAGCTGACCACTTGGAGTGCCTCTGGTGTCGTGCGGTGGGGCTCAGACTGCATTGTAGTAGGTGGTCTGTGGTTTGTTCTTCTCCTCATTCGAGTGTCACAGACTCCACTTTGTAGCCCCATTTCTTAAGATTGGCTCTGCATCTTGTGGTGCCAGAGTGCAGTCTCTTCAGCGCCTTCCACATTGCCCAGTCTTCTTTGTGCCCAGGAGGGAGTTTCTCATCCAGTATCAGCCACTGATTGAGGTTCCAGGTTTTAGCCTGCTACTTTTGGACTTTCACTTGCTGAGGTGTTCCTGCAAGTATCTCTGTAGATCTTAGGAAGCTATTTCTTGATTTAAGGTGTTGGCTTGCTGGCTGATATCCGAACAGAGGATGTCAATGCCTTGGCCCTCTCATTGTTGGCTGCTACTTCCTGACGGATGTCAGGTGGTGCAATAACAACTAAATAGAATAATTTCTCCAGTGGTGTAGTGGGTAGATATCCTGTGATAATGCGGCATGTCTCATTAAGAGCCACATCCACTGTTGAATACATGGTGAGATGTATTCCACACTGGGCATTCGTATTCAGCAGAAGAGTAGCAAAGTGCAAGGGCAGATGTCTTCACTGTATCTGGTTGTGAGCCCCAGATTGTGCCAGTCAGCTTTCGTACAAAATTATTTCTAGCACCTACTTTTTGCTTGATATTCAAGCAGTGCTTTTTATAAGTTAGAGCACGGTTCAGAGTACTCACAGGTATTTGGGTATGCTGCAATGCTCCAGTGGGATTATTTTCTAAGTAATCCTCAGAGCTTGAGATACTTGTCTGTTCTTAAGATAAAAAGCACACGACTGCGTTTTATGCAGTGATTATATCTGATTATGCTATTCCCTCCTGCCTTGCATCCTGTTGCAGTGACTTCCCATTCTTTTGGTTATTGCAGACAATCATGAAGTTAAGTTCTTCCTTCTTATTACAGTATTTTCCATTTTTCCTTTTAGCATGATAGTTCTGATTTCAAAATTCCTTACACAAATTCTGACAGATGAAATTATGAAGCCTTCTATAAAATCTGTTCCTTCTTTCTTTTTACAAAATTTAGAAATGGTTTCCAGTCTTTGATAAAGGGTTTCTTTTGTATTTTTTCTTTGTTTATTATGAGCAGTTTATCCATTTCTGGATAAACTATGCTATGCTAAAAGCTTTTACTATCCATTCTTCTGTCTTTGGAAGGTGTAACTTTTTCCAGTGTTGTGCATGTAGTATCTGTGCTGCAGTGATCATATAGTGCAGTACATTGTAGTTTAGTGATTTCATTTGTTTATTTGGCATTCCCAAGAAAAATAATTCAGGCTCTAATTGTATCTTGGCTTTTAAAAATTCCTGCAGTGTTTTTTGTACTTTCCCCCAGAAACTCATTGGGTGACTTCAGACAACTCACTCTTATCAACTTCTGATGAAGGCAACAACACTCCTTATCTGAACAAATCTTGCCAAGGAAAACCTGTGATAGGTTTACATTAGGGTCACCATAAGTAGAAAAATTGCTTGAAGGCACACAGCAATATCAGTGAAGCTTCCCATTGCTCTAATGTAGAGATAAACACAACTGACATGGAAATATAGGCCTTTACATTAGGTTAGGTGTGTTTTTTTTGGAATGTAGGCTAGTAACTTCTGCAGTGGAGCTTTCCCAACTGTGACACATTATCATGTTGACTACAGTGTGTAGGTGTGTCACACAAATGTCGGAGTCTCTGTGAAATAAGAAATTGTAGTTTAAAAAACAAAGGCTTTTACAAGATATGTTGTGTTTGCCATACATTTTGTTATTACAATTTAAGTAGGTGTCTGTACTTCTTCTCAGGGGTTGGTTTTGCTAATGACTGTTTCACAAAACGTTGCATGTCTAAAAAGTGTGTCACCAACATGAAATGTTTAGAAAGCTCTGTTATATAGTTTTTTTTACAAGGTTGCATTTGGTTGCTAGTTAGTTAGTTTCAACTGTATTTTAGAACATTTTCCTTTTATTGTTAACCTGCATTTTATCTATGGATTTTATTCTGTATTTTACTTTGTGTATATTTGTTATATGCATTTTAATAGTGCTTTGTTTTATCTCACTGTTTTAACTGTGTTGTGCCCTGCCTTGAGCCACAAGGTGAGGCGGGTAATTAATAATAATAATTATTATTATTATTATTATTATTATTTAAATTAAAAATTCAGCATTTTGAAAATGGAAGCTTTAGTTTTTTAAAAGAATCATTTTGCACATAAAGCCACAAAGATGGCATTTAAAATACATTTAATTATATCTTTCAGAGAGATCTCTGATGCATTTCTGGGAGTTGATGTCAGAACTAAGGCTTTCCTTTCTGTGCTAATCCATGCAACATATAGTCTAAACATGAAACCAGGTTATTTGATTTTAATACATTTATTGATTTCAGTCTTAGGAAGAAAAATTCTGTAAAATATGAATGGTGCTTTGAGTCCTTTTTAAAAATGAAATTGCTTCTTTTTGAAGTCTCCTTCATGTTGTCTTTGATGCCGGTCTTAACTTTCTGTTCCTTGTTTTTTTTAATTGTTGTTATTCTTTTACAGGAAGTTCAATCACATTTGTGAACAAACTCGATTCAAGAACTGAAGGTGTTTATTGTGTCAAAAATACAAAAAAGGGAATGTGGAGTTGAACCTGAAATGCTGACTCAAGTCACGATTCCCTCACAGCAGGGAGTTGGTAATGCTTTACATCAGGTACTCTGGTGTGATATCTCTTTAATTTGTAACATTTTCAAGCTTGGAAGAAAGGTGAAAGTTCTGCTTGTTCTCTGTTCTTTGTTTTGGTCCTTTTTTCTATAAAGAGAGAATTGAACAAGTAATCCTGATTGGCCCTCCTGTTTCAGCACGCTTGGCAGCATTCATATATGATGTTTGACAGCATTCAGGGGCTGAAGGGTACTTACAGCATTGATGGGGGATTTACACTGGATGGAAGAAACTGGATTATTCTGTACGTGACACTAGATCAGCAGCTATTGTTTGTTGAATAAAACACAAAGCGGACATACTTGAGAGGAGGGGGCGGAGGTTGCAGAAAACCATGAGTAGGCAAAACTAAGTTTAGCAGGTTCTGCGGGGCAGTTCCCTCTCTATGCAAGCCGTGGAGCTCACTTCCTCTTAAAATGAGAGAGGGGTTGGGCTATTTTTAAAAAGCAGGGCCAACTGATGCCCATCCTTGCAGTCCACAAGCTCCTGGACCATGCTCTAAAGGAGGTTTCCTGGGACAATTGCAATTCTCTATTTCTGAATGGGGAAAAATGGGAGGGGTGTCCAGGTTCAATGCCCCATCCTAAATATAGCATATCGTTTAGTATCTTTGGGGCTGTGTCCTACTAGCTCTTTTCTATGATTGCACTGTCCTAATCTGTCACAAAGGAAAAGACTTGGCACTGTCCTGGTGGAAATTCTCCATTGTCACCTTGCTCTCTCCACTCTACGGTTTGTCTGAGCCTTCTTTCAGTTGCAGCTGTATTTGAGAACAACTCTACATTTTTACTTTTACCTACTCTTAACACAATGCCCCTGGAAATCCTTGCCCCTTTATAAAATTGTTTATCTTCACCAGACAAGAAAGCAACTGTCATGATCCAGTCAGATTAGCCCTTAAAAGTGTTTGGCGATGACTGGATGTATTCTGTCCACACTGCTACATTGACTGGGTTTTTTCTGCATAACTGAAAGCATAATATTTTCAAGACGGCAACCTTTTTGTCAGGTATCTCGTAGTTTGACTTGAGATTTAAGAAACCCAAATAATTTCTCAGTTATTTGTGTTATTTAAATCTCAAGTTACACAATCTATTGGGGGCAGATTGTAAAACAAAAGTCAGCAGCATTGGGGACACAGAGGTAGGGTGTAGAATAAGCCCTCCACTTCATGGATTTGACTGTTGATAAGTTAGCAAATGTTCAGCAATAAATTCAATGGGGCTTCTCAGTGTACCTTTTTGTGACATAGATTGATAATTTTTTTGAAAAATGCTGGCAGACACTTTGCCAGGATCTGTCTTCCTTTATACGTATGGGTACAAGCCATCCCATTAGACATCTCTTGAATCTCCCCCTTTAAAATCACTGGGATTTTACATGCTGGGCATGATCCAACCAAAGTTATTAATCCAACCTGTGTTGCATATTTAGATATGAGAATAATTTCAAGGTTCTTGTGGGTTTTTTCGGGCTATAGAGCCATGTTCTAGAGGCATTTCTCCTGATGTTTCGCCTGCATCTATGGCAAGCTTCCTCAGAGGTAGTGAGGTCTGTTGGAATTAGGACAATGGGTTTATATATCTGTGGAATGGCTTGGGTGGGGCAAAGAGCTTTTCTCTGCTGGAGCTAGGTGTGAATGTTTCAACTGACCACCTTCATTAGCATTTGAAGGCCTGGCTGAGCCTGGGGAAATCCCTTGCTGAGAGTTGTTAAGTTGTGCTTGGTTGTTTCTTCTCTGTTGTTTTGCTGTTGTAATTTTAGAGTTTTTTAATACTGGTAGCCAGATTTTGTTCATTTTCATGGTCTCTTCCTTTCTGTTGAAATTGTCCACATGCTTGTGGATTTCAATGGCTTCTCTGTGTAGTTTCTCTGTGTAATTTCAAGCTCGCTCCCATATTCTGAAATAGTAGTGTGAGAGTCAACTGAAAGAGGAAACCATCAAACTAATGCAGGCTGTTATGTCCCATTCCAGTTTACTTTAAGGATGGGGTTGAAGGACTGGTCACTTTATACTCTGCAGCCTTCATTCTGTCCCATTGGCTTTTAAAAAATGGAACTCCCAAAGTGTTCTGGGTGTTGCCCATTTACCAACCATGTTCAACCAGTGGGCTATAGTAAGCCTGTTAAATATGTTTAAAGAAAATAACAGTGAAACAGCTGCTCACTGTATTCATAGACAGTTCTAAATGGAGTGCATATCCATCTTTAGGCAGTCTGTGTTTTGAGCCTGGACTGCATCTGAAATAGTAAAATAAAATCTAAACTCACAATCTGATTTGATTCAAGCTCTAGTCAGGGAAGTTATAGCTGTATATTGGGGTTGCCTTCCTTTGTCTCCTGTGGGTGTCTCTCTGCTTTCCGTTCTCTCTCGTCTTTCTGCTTTCCCTCTTCTCAAGTGCACGTGTGTCTCCCCGCTTTTCTTTCTCTCCCACAACTGCGTGTCACACTCTTCTTCTCCCTTCCTTCTGTTCTTTATATACTTGTGATTGTGTAAACATTTCTCGGGTAAAAAGGGGGTGTGAATCAAAAAAGTTGAAGAAGCTCTGCTTTAGATCTTCTTAGTTCACTACTAGAGTTGGAATGCTCAAATATTCCATTTAAACAAAGAGTGTTGTTGAACTGGACTTTAAACTCAACCACTTGTCTGTAGCTTTGAAAAGTTACTTTTAAACTCCCTGGACCCCTAACCAGCTTGAAAACTGGCTTCAAATTATAGTTGAAAAAGTAAGTTTCTATGCTTTTATATGAGCAGAGTGCCATTTGAGCAGCCAGGAAAGTCTTTCTCTCCCCACCCCTTCCCCCACTATGCGTACTCTTGTTTCTTTTGAACTAAACATGATGCAGGAAAATGATAGACAAAATAATAGAAATGTAATAGCACAAACTTTATATTATTATGCCATTGTATGTGGAGGCCATTTCTGAATGTATTGGTTTGAAAATAAGGGCAAGTTTATAAAACTTTCAGTCCAAACTTTTAATGCTGTTCTTGACTTGTACCATTTCAGATTTCATTTTTCAACTTCCATAGCAGAATATTTTCCCCAGCTAAAGCATATTGGGCAGTGGGATTTAGTCTAGTTCTTCCAGATATTCTAGTTTCTATAGAAAATGATGTTTGTATGTCAGGGAGAGTCATTGACCATGTAATCCTCTCTCTGCTGTCCAGGCCTTATTATTTTATTCTCTTGACCTTGCCAAGTGACCATCCATCTCATTGAAAGAAGACAATGTTTCATATTTAGACCTAGGGTGGGGACATGTAAGTCCTATGGAGGTCAGTGGACCAACTTCCATCACTTCTACCAGCCTTTGTAATGGTGAAGGGTCAGGGAAGTTGCAGTATGACAATACCTGGAGGGATAGATGTTCACCCCTAGCGTAGACTCACACCATCTGAGTGAACATGTGTTGTGGAAACAAAATTTACTTGGAGCTACAACAAAGAAGCAATAACTATTGACCAAGCAAAATGCACAATATACATCATGCAAACCTTTTGGAGCTTCAGTGGCTTCTTCCTCAAGTAAAGATGTTAAAGATCTTATTTCTGGTGTCAGTTAAGATGGTCTGGAGAGTGATGTCCAAACTCTGCTCCTTTATGTTTATTGACATCAATTTCCAGTATTTCCACCCACGTGGCCAATGGTCAGAAATTCTGGGAACTAAGGTCCAAAATGTGTGGAGGACCAGAGTTTGGGACTCACTGATCTGGAGAGATCTCAGTGCAAGCAGAGGCTATTCCCTTTCTTGGCCATGTGGAGACCTGAGACGAAGGCAATAAAAGATAGGCAATAAAACCTCAACTCCATTGGCTCCTTTGAGATCCAGGCTGCCCCTGTCCTATGTGAATCGGACATCCTTTCTTAGGCAGAGAACCCTGCACACCCTAGAGTACTTTCAGGTGCTGTATATGTAATATGTTTCTGGGAACTATGTGTAACTTCTCAAAGACAGCCAACCAAAACCATACATTCAGGTCAAGGTCTAGTTACTAGAGTCGACACGTTGAATCTAGTTGTGACTAAGACATGATTAAGAAATGTCTAACTGAAGTTCATCTTACAGTTCCATCTGAGCTTTTTTTTTTTTTTTTTTTAGTTCTTAAAGTTTAAATATCTCAAATGTTTGCAGTTGTATCCTCTCAGGCAGACTATTTGCAGCTGCTCGGGTCTCTGTTTTCATCTCAGGCTATATATGTAAATGTTTTGCATATATGGAAAAAAGAGACTTTTGCACAATACACACAACAGGGTGTGTTTTGCCTTTCTCTTCCTGCATTCCACATTGACTTCCAGGGGAGACTTCCCACTTTATTGGCAAACAGGCTGGAATTTGTGGACAGCTTGCTTTTTTTCAATGTGCTTTGTACTTGCAATGGTTCATACTGAGCACTGCATCTATGCCTGCTCCTGCAGTTCAGTACTGTATTTATTAATAAAAATAAACCTGAAACAATCAGAACCTAGCTATACATGAGAAGACTTTGGATTCCTTTGATAACCCCTCTTCTTTCTATATATATATATATATATATATATATATATATATATATATCTCAAATCTGCCTTTTCTATGCATTAGGAGATTGAAGTAGTGCAATGGAATGAAAAGGGTTTTTTTTCTCGTGCATATGTTGTACCTTTTTTTAAAAAAAGTGAAAATATTAATTTTACAAATGTTTGGGTGAATCTTTTCTCTTTTGCTCTTCAAGTAACGAAGAGCACCACGGTTCATGGGTATTACATACTCTTACATGTTTGAGTACATCTTTAAATTAAAATAAAAGTGTTGGTCAGCTGAATAATACCAAATTAATGTGATGAGTTCATAATCTTGATGTTTAAGAACTCTAATTTGTTTGGCTTATTGTAAATTGCGCTGAAGAGCAGGCATTGTGAGAAAGGAAAAAAACTGAAGTGTTAGAATGGCCTGTTGCTAAGACCAGTCTTACGGAAAACCTGTTGTTAGAGATGAAATGGAGTCACCTTCTCTGGCAGTTTTTCTTCTGTAATAATTCTTCCAACCTTTCAGAGTGATTTCAAAAATTAAAAAGTTGACTCATGGAAATGTTTCCTTGTTTCTTTTTGGGCTGATTTTTCTATACGGGCTTGAATTCTATGCCACTAAAAGCACACCACATCATTTAAATCAGGGATGTCAAACTTTTGTTCACTGAGAGCCACATCAGCCTTATGGTTGCCTTCAAGGGACCATTGAATCCATGGGCAGAGAATTCATGGATTTAGAGGGCCAACTGTATTTTTTTTACATAGTGGACAGTGGTCTTTAGGTTTTACCTAGTTTTGGTCCCCAGATGTTATTGAACAACAACTCCCGCACTTTTGTTTATCTGCCATGCGGACTGGTAATTGCAACCCAGCAGCCATTGTGGCTCTGAGGCTGGGCTGCAAAGTTGGGTTAAAGGACATTTTAACGGCAGACATCATATTCCCAAGCCTTGTGTTTAAATTCAAATCCCGTTTTACTGACAAAACAGAACAACTGCAGCCTTCCAGATGTTGCTATATCACAGCTCCCATCAGCTCAAGTCATGATGTTTTAATAATGAGGGATACAGGAGTCATAGTCCAATATCTGGGGGGCCTTATAAAATGACATGGAGGTCTGGATTGGGCCCAAAGGCCTTGAGTTTGATACATGTGTCCTAGAGGCATGTAAGTGAAACCACAGATAATGGTTCTGTGGTTATTGGAGTCTTAATGTATTGTGAATTGCTATGAACTAGATTCTGTCTTTGAAAATACTAAAAACAAGTTGTCAGCTGAGGCATGTTTATAAATGCTTGGCGCTGGCTGCAGCTATTTTTTCTGCTTTGCCTCCTCTGTCAGCACTCAGATCAGGATTTCCAAATGTTTGGGACCGAACGTCATTTACTGTTTATAAGTGAAATACGTTCCAAAACACCACCACTCTCCTGCATTGATCATGCTGCTTTCATGTATGCAAAACAGATAAACAAAGTTGAAAAGCTGACAAACTCTTGCGCAACATTTTTCAGAACTATAAAATATTCACCTATTTTTTCCATACGTCGCCCCGCAAGACAACAAAAAAGGGAAAGGCTGGAGCTGGCTTGTTCTCAGTGAAGATAAATAGAGGCGTTCCAGCAATTGTGACAATTAAGGTTGGACAGGGAAATACGTTTCAAAGGCACTGTAAGCTTTGCTCATATTTTCACTGCCATGAAGACATTTCTGTACGGAAACCACATGCATCACATAAAACCCACACACGTACACCCTCATTGGCTCCACAAGGGAGCAGATGGAGGCTTAAAGGACAGGTGAAACTAAAAGGAGAAGGAAAAAAATGGGCAAAATCAGAGCTCACTATTTTAGGAACCAGACTTTAGGCGCCCAGACATAGCAAAAATGGAAAAAAATGAAACTAAACCATTCCATTGGATAGTGGGGGCTGGATTTTTCCCATTCCTCCTCTGACACCAGTTTGCAATAGATATTTGGAGGCTTTCCTTTTTGTGAAGCTGAGATTCAATCACTGAGCCATTTGGAAATGGAGCCTTTATGTTTGTGCGTACAAAGATGTTAAATAAAAATACATCTCTTGGGTTACTAAGCTGGAGGGAGTTATGCATTGTAGCCACGCAGTCAGCCTTTCCATTGGTACAGACTTAAAACTTCGACTGTACATTTCACTTACAATCAGAATTCTACAATTGTCAAAGGCCATGCGCTTCCCTGTTTAGATTGCATGAGTGAGCATGGTGGCTGGTGATCCCAAAGCCCTGCTTCAGAATGGAAAGACTAAACAAACAGTAGGCATTCTTCAGCAGGAGCCAGCTGCAGAATCATCGCTGCAAGGATTAGCAACAGAATATGCCTCTCATGCCAAGCAGTGTGCCAGGTGCAATTTGCAAATGGCACGTGGAGACACAATCCAAAAGATAACAGCCTGGTAAAGAAGCCCAGAAACATGATTCAAAATGTTACTACTCTGCTGGAGCCTGGCTGAGAATTGTGGCCAATATCCCAGGCTCGTTTAACTTGCGGCCCATGGAGCACATGCAGCCCAGGATGCCTATGAATGTGCCCAACACAAAATCATAAACATTATGATATTGGGGATGTAACTCAGTTGCACAGTGCTCAAGTACAAGCTTTGTAGATGACAACAACAGAATGGAATAATCTGAATGTAATGTTACATCTACAAAATATTGTAGTATTCTCCATAATTAACATTACTGGCAGTCCCCAAAATTACAAACATCCAACTTACAAACAATTCATAGTTACAAATGGGTGAGGCAACAGGAAGTGAGAGAAATCTACCCCTCAGAAGGGAACTTCACTCCTGAAAGCATTATTATCATGGGGGAAAGGGGTCTTCACTGAAGCTTTATCACCAACCCTTTTTTCACAACAAGCCAATTTTTGCAGTTGTAATGGGACTGCCTCTCCATTCCCTTTTGTACATGCAGTGGGAGGTGATTTGGGAAATTGCTCAAAGGGCTACAAAAGAGCATTTTGCACTCCATCCACAATGAGATATACCTGTGCACAGGTCATTTTTACATGCTCCCCTGTTGCTAAGAGTACTGTGTCCTCTGATTCCTTCACAGCAGCAGTCCACTGCTTCCCTCAGAGCCTTTGGTTTTTGTGTTGTGGTCAAAGAGCAAAGGGAGATTAGGCTGGCCTTCATACTGTCACCTTCCATAGGTATTTGAAGACTTGGATGTTTAAACAAGCCTTTGAGAATGTCTAGCCCCAATGGTCCACAATTAATGATACAGTACTGCACTTTCATCCCATGCCCTTGTTCCTTAGCTACAATTTGCACTATCCCATTCCCTTGTCTTGTTTACAGTTTGACCATGTCTTATGGCAGGGGTCACCATAGATTGTTGGACGTTGTTCTGGGTTCTAAATTGTTTTATATGCTATTGGCTTTTTAAAAAATTATATTGTACTGCCAACCTGCTCATGTGCATGTATGGAGTTCCAAGGACTCCTCTCCACATAGTCCCTTGTCACCTGTGGTTCCAGGATAGGACATCAATGGCCTAGATGGACTGATCGTGGTTTCCCTCCCAAAGAAATGGAGAGCAACATGACTTTCTAAATAAATATGGCCAAGCAACCTCCAATGTACAATTCCCAACACCCTGAAAGTGCACTGACAAATTAATTTAAGGTTGTGAACCATTGTGTCACCAGACCAACTCCATAAAAGGAAAAAGGAGTGCTGGTCCATGCAGTTATAGTTACAGTAACTCCATGGAACCCCACATTATCTGAATGTCCGATCACTGTCGCCCAAAGCAGTTACTATACTCCCAACTCAAGAATGGAAAACGGAATGTTGGTAGAAAGGAAAAGAGATTTAAAGATGGGCTTAAAGCGAAGCTTAAAAACTAAGGCATAGACACCAAGAACTGGGAAGCCCTGGCCCTTGAGTGCTCTGACTGGAAGTCAGCTGTGACTAGCAGTGCTGTGGAATTCAAAGAGGCACGAAGGGAGGGCAAAAGGGAGAAACGTGCCAAGAGGAAGGCACACCAAACCAACCCGGACTGGGACCGCCTTCCACCTGGATGTTTTCATTGTCAGCTATGTATCCACCGCCAAGACACTGCACTTGATAGGCCATCGTACTTGAACAACAAGGGATCGCCAAAGTAACCCAATGGAAGGCAATGGAAAAAAAAAACGTCACTGGTGGAAGATATTAAGAAAGGTGCAAAGTAGCAATTTATTTTATTACATGTAAGAATGTGTGCGTGTACATGGGTTTTTCAAAACAGTAGTACAGAGCTGGGATCTAGTCAGTTCTACAGATAGATTCATGATTTATACACCAAGCACATTTACCATAGATATGCTGTTTTTGTAGGGGTAACATACTGTAAGATGCCAGGGAATTGTTAGCCAACTGGAATTTTCCATGCACCTGTCCCTAATTTTTTATTAAATGTGTCTTCACGCTTTTTTAGATGTGGTAAAAATGATTGTCATAAAGTGCTGGACAACATTTAGAATTTTGTGTTACCGAAATGAAAAACAGCCTATATTGTGACAAGCAATTTTGTTGTATCTGCTGTGAATCACTCTTACCAACAGTTTGACTGGGTTTCATGATGTGCATTTCTTATTACCTAGAAGTTCCTTGTAACTTCTTTCAGCAATGTGCAATGACAATATATGTGTCTCTACAGTGTGCATTCATATTAATAAAGCATTAAGGTTACTAAGTTGCCAGAACTCTTCGCAGCAGTTACTTTTTAAGATGTGGCATGCAAAGAAGAGAGCTCTGCCCCAAGCTTGTAGAGCCAAGCAAAGAGAGGAGTGCTCAGCAGGCGTCAGTAAATACACCATCCTCTTCAAGGGGAGTTCATATGAATTGTAAAACCATTGCTTCTACCTAAACAGAGCAATAAATCAATTGCAGTTTATTTGATGCATATGTAACTCACTATTTGCCCGCTTTGTATCTTCTCTTGCTATGTACAGCTCTTTAGATTCTATCCATCGCCACCTCACGGTAAAGAATTGTGCGATCATCTCCAACTGTGGCTAGAATTTGGTTGAACTCTTGTGAAATAGGACCAAAACAATATGGCCCTTTTAACTGGATTTAATTGGACCCCAGAACTGACAACACCTCCTTATTCAAGCACTATATTTAGGAAGCCTAATTGGGTAAGTTTCATAAGCCGTCACAAAACTCCAGGACCTACACCTTTTGTTATGGTCATTGGGGCAACTTAAGGAGAAAGCCAAGAGCGCAACAGATGACATTATGCCAATAAGCAGCCCAGACAGCCTGAACACACTCCCCTCCTGTGTAAGTCATATTGGTGTTGAAGAGATGTTGTTCTTGATTGTTTTCAAATCCATAATCCCAAACTTTCAGTTTCAGCTTGGATGTCACATCTGGAAGAATTATTGAACTGAGGTTTGCCTCAATCTCTGAGAAACTAAGGAATCATGTTTCTGATGAGTGCTGGTTGCGGTAAGGCCAGTCTCTGAAACAGGCACATGGCTTTGATCTTTGTAGGTGCCACAGCCCTTTGGGGCATCTGGATGAGTTTGGGTGCTCCCCCCAAAGACCATGGTCTGTCCTGATATTGGTGATCTCAGGCAAAACTTCTTGAAAAGGCAGGTCCACTGCTTGCTCACCAGTCATGGCCATCTGTAGGTTACAAATAACAACATTGGTCTCAGCATGTGAATCTACGAATGGGTTTATGTGCTCTGCTAAAACCAAAGGCTGCTGGTCTTCTCCTTCTTCAGAAATAACAAAAACAAGCTTTGGATTCATTTCAGGGGAGAGATCCTTAGATTTTGACCTATTGTTTGCATTGCCTTGGAGTTGAGGGGCACCTTCAGGGGTGACTTTGGCTCCCTGGCTTGGTCTGCTGGCTGGAGAGCAAACATCTGCACATCTGGAGGGATCTGAGAGCCTTGGGCGGTTGCAACTGGGAGACCTTGTTAAAAAGCCACGGTAAGGATTTCCAAAGTATGGTCGTTTCAAGATGCAGCTGCTGCTCAGCTTGCATGCTTTCTTTACTGAGTGTGTCAGTGGGTAAAAAGCAGGGCTGGTTGAGGAATCTGAGGAAGCCAGTTCAGAGTTTCCATCTACATCTGCAGTGGAGATCACTTTGCGAATAGGTGGAGTCTGGTTTTTCATGGATGTAGAAAAGCCCTGGCAGGAACAACCATAACCCTAATAAGCAGATCTTGGAGGGTTGCAAGATGAAATTGTTAACAAACAAGGGCATATTTTGCTTGCTTTATTTTCTTCTCTCCCTCCTTGTGCCTTTCCCATAATTCAAAGACCAACACAGCTAGCAGAATACGTATGCATGCCTGGGTACATTGAAAGGAGTAATCTGAAGATATTGATATTTCAGACCAGATCAATAGTACTTTCTCTTTCTTCACTTCAAAACCAAAGCACATTTGTAAACTTTGGGGCTGCAAAAAAAGGTAATTACGAAAAGCCAAAACGCTGAAGGCTTGCGATCAGTGTTCAAAGCTATAGGTTTTGTATATTATGCAAAATAACCTCATAATCTGAATTACATAATTCAGGTTTGGTCGTTAATACTTCTGATTTTACCATTACAAAATGGGTAGGCATTTTGTGGCCAATCTTCTACAATACGGATATTTTGTTCCTTCCAACTTGTGAAGCATAATATACACTGTAATAAGTAAATAATGTACAAAACATTGACTGTCTTTCTTCATAATACTTCCAATAACATACCTTAATTCTTATGAATATGTAGATATGACAATACTAACAGGGAAATCACTAGATCACTTGCATCTCCTAAAACACTCTGAACATACTTACACTATTGTTCACCAATTTGGTGAAAGGATTGTTAGTAGTCCAGCTGCACCATTTCCTCTGCAACTGAGGGAAGGGAGCCAGTAAGTCATGAAAAGCCCGTGTGCTCCAAGTATGTTGTCCAGGGCAATGGGTCTCCGTTGCTACTGCTGTCCTCTCTGAAGCAATGAGACTTGGTTCTCTTTCATCTGCTATCATCCAGTTAGAAACTGAGCCTGGACTTGTGAAACTTCTCCTTAGGATTTTGTCCTTGAAAAAATACAGATGATGGTTAAAACATAAACATATGTGACATCTTTACTCGGGGGCCAATGAAAGCACAGCTTCCCTCTTTCTTCTCAATAAATAAAGTAGAGGTGAAATAGTAGGTTCCCTCCGCCATAATTTGTACACTTAAGCTTTCATGAAGCTCTTCTGATTTTGGAAAATGGTAGAAAAGTGTCAATTGCTGAAGCCTGGCATACGGCACTCGAGTGAGAGATGGAATGACTAACTGAAACAGCACATAGTTAAATCCTAGAATTCAAAACCATTGCTGTCAACTAGGCTTGTGCATTTGGGGTAAACCTTGACCTGTTTCATTCCCGGCTTTCGGTGGGGGCCCCAATCCATTTTTTGGGAGTCTCCCAAAATCAGGAGGGTTATTTTCAGTTCGGGCCCCCAAAAATCGGAGCATTATGTGGAAGGGGCTTCCCACACACTGTTTCCATTTGATGATTGATGTTTTGTCTTATGTCTGTTATAACAGGATGTGTTTTTTATTTAATTTTAGTTGTTAAGTTATAATTTATGTTTATATGTTGGGTTGTAAAAATTTTGTTATTATGGATGTATTGTATTTGGGCATTGAATGTTTGTCTTTTATGTTTGGAATCCTCCCTGAGTCCCTTCGGGGAGACAGAGCGGAATATAAATAAAGTTTTATTATTATTTTATTATAAACTAATTTCGCGCACAACTCTACTGTCAATCCTGAAAGATCGGAAAGGTAATTAACCAACCCATGGACAATATGACAAACAATAGCTTTTAGTCACATTGGCTCTGAGACCTTGCGTCTCAGAGATGTTATGCCTCTCAATGTGACTTGCCAGGGATCAAGAGTAGGAAGATGAACCTCTACTCACCTGCTACTTGTGAGCTTTCTTGGAAGCAAATGATTGGTCTCTGTTGAGAACAGAGACAATATGGGCCTTGAATCAGTCTGATCCAACAGAGATCTTGGGGGGGGGGGGTTATGAGGAAGAGGGTTTTGTGTCAGCATAAGCTTGCCAGGACTTGGTTTAATGGGGCTCTTGGTAAGCCACACATTGATGGGATCCCTCTCATCTGCCAGACTTCCTAGTGACAAGTGGTGGAGGAAGAAGCTTCCCAAGCCACTGGTTTAAATGTTTCACAATGCATGGAATCAATGCCACATTTATATCCATTGTGGAGAATTCAAATGGCACCTAGAGCTAACCATTCGGTGTTACTTGGAGTGTCAGAATTGGAAAAAAACTAAACTGAGCAGAATTAGTGAGACTAGAGGCCTGTCCATGATAGGTCCTGCCCAAGGACTTGTGTCCTTGTAGATGTCCCCTACAGCCAAATTATCCCTTTATTTTATTTTATGATTGATTGATGTAATCCCAACATGGGATCCAAGGTGGTATACAAGGTTTTAAAAGCAGATATCTCAGGGTCGTTATCCATGACATGTTGGAAACTCCCTCTGTTATTGGTGCTCAGACGCAGGTTGACCAACTGTTGCTTTTGAGAAAAGGGGATTTGGATAATCTTTTTTTTTCTTTTTCAAATCGGCTTATGGCTTCACATTGTCTAGACCAGCATTACAAAGGAGGGCAGTTCTGGGATCTTTCTTTACTGTCAAGGCTCAAAATTTCACACCTCTGTAAGCATTGGAGTAATGCCCCAGAGAATGCCAACAAAGAAGTGGGTGGGCAAGAAAGATCTATGACTATGATGTGGTAAACAAGTCAGTACTGGCAGCATTGACCTGGTTTAGGTTGCATTCAACTCAGCAGGTGGAGAACACTTGGCCCTTCCCAGTAGAAAGCAAACTGCTGCAGCCTCTCTGTGCTGGCACGGTAGTGCCAGGAGATTTGAACCTTTTTTTCTTGCACTGCTAGTTTGTATGAATTTATTTAAACCATGCTTTTTGCAATCAGGTAACTTCCCCAGGTTGCAGCCATAGGGCCACCAACCTGGCAATCATCGTTAGAGTCTTTATACCCGCCCCTTTTCCCAGGGTTTTGGAGGCAAAGGAGGACCTTTGTTCAGTCTCACGGTTTGAAGTCTAACAGCAGGACGTGTGGGATTCTCTTTCCCACCTGCACAAAGGCTTCACTTCTCACAGCTCTGTCGGGGGGGGGGGGGGGGGGGGAGGAAAGGGATAGTCACACAGCTTTTGCTGGGAGAATACAGCCAGCCTTTGCTGGGCAACAGGACAGTTCCTACAGCCTTAGTGGAGTAAAACTAAAGGACACCTTTCGGCATGGCAGATCTACAGCAACCATTGTCTGGTAAGGGACCACTCGGGCTATCCATAAAGTAGCTTGGAGCCTCACGCCAGCAAGGTAAAGAAAGATTTTCCAGGGAGGGGTCAGAAGATTTCCCTAAGGAAGAAAGTAACAGTTTACCACCAGTTGCCTGCCCTTGATAGCAGATTGAGGAAGCTACCAGTTTTCCAAGGTTATAATGCATTTAATTAATTTGTTTGAAGATTTAAGCCCAAATAAAGAACTTTGTTGAACTTATTTTGAGCCTCAATAGAACTTTGTGTTGGGAAATCTAAGGGGCCCTTCAGCTGAGGCACCCCGGCGTCCCATTGGGCATACAGAAGGCACGTCCTGTAAACAGACATTATTTCAGGCCCAGCGTGTGGCAGCACACTCTCCTTTCTTCTACGTTCTTCCCATTGAATATCTATTGCCATCTAGATATTGCTTGGCCACCTATACCCTGGGTTTTCATCAAATGAAAGGTTGTAGGAGATGTCTCTGTTGTCCCACAGTATTTGTTGCCTGAGGTGGTCATTTCACTCTAACAAACGGTAGATATGATTTTTTTAAACTGTCCGGCAATTGTTCAAGCCATGACAATTTCTGCCCCAATTGCCATGGCTTGGTTGGTTTTGGGTACAATTGGCGTTTTTTTTTTAGGGAGGATGAGGAGGGTGCCGTTTGTTGTTCTGACTCCAGAACTGAATTTTAAGCAAATCAGAAAGGAAATACTTCTAACCACAGGACAGAACCACTTTCAGTCAAAAAAGAAATTCACTGGAAATACACAAAGGTCTCCACTACCTGAATTTGACAGGAGGTAAAATTCAAGCCACCAGCTCCAGGACTGGCTGAAACAATAAACACCTCCTCACTCCCAGACTCGGTGGTTAATGCTGACACTGAAGAAGGTACATCGGGATCTGTTTGTGGGGGTAAGCACTCCACACTGCCATTGCAGGAAGTGACTAAAAAATTAGAAAGATGTTTTTATTTATTTATCTCTCGCCCAAGACAGAGACATATTATACTGCCACTGCAAAATCATGACTGTTCCAGGGTTTCATCATGAATCCTCCTTTAATTCTATGCTGTTCAAAGTTTTCAGTGACATTCTTGCCACCTTCCAAATGGTTTGCCCTGAAATAACGAACAGCACTAGCCACATTTGCAATGGATGCTGTTTGCCATTTTGCCACATTTGTGTATTCGTTTCAACCTTTTTAGGCTCATGGTTGGTTAGATGGATACCAACTGCTTCTAGAGAAGCAGATGGCAGAAATAGAAGAATGCCCTGCCTCAGGGGAGTGCACTTGGTCCATCAATGTTTAACATTTACACAAATGATCAGCCACTACCAGAAGGGACAGAGAGTTTCATCTATGCTGACGATTATGCCATCACCGCTCAAGCAGGGAGCTTTGAAATGGTTGAACAGAAGCTCTCTGAAGCTGTAGGTGCTCTTACTGCCTATTACAGGAAAAACCAGCTGTTCCCTGATCCATCCAAAAAGCAAATGTGCTTTTCATCTTAAGAACAGACAAGCATCTCGAGCTCTGAGGATTACCTGGGAAGGAATCCCACTGGAGCACTGCAGCACACCAAAATACCTGGGAGTTACTCTGGACCGTATTCTGACTTACAAGAAGCACTGCTTGAATATTAAGCAAAGAGTGGGTGCTAGAAACAATATCACAGGAAAACTGACTAGCATAACCTGGGGATCACAACCAGACAACCAGACACTTTGCCCCTCTGCCGTTGAATATGCATGCCCAGTGTGGAACACATCTCACCATGTTACAACAGCAGATGTGGCTCTTAATGAGACATGTCATATTATCACAGGATGTATATGCCCCACACCACTGGAAAAATTATACTGTTCAGCTGGTATTGCATCCCCTAACATCCGGCAGGAAGTAGCAGTCAACAATGAAAGGACCAATGCATAGATATCTCTGGCCTATCCTCTGTTTGGATATCAGCTAGAATGTCAATGCCTTAAATGAAGAAACAGCTCCCTAAGATCTACAGAGATACTCGCAGGAACACCCAGCAAGTGAAAGTCCAAAAGTGGCAGGTTAAAATCTAGAGCCTCAATCAGTGGCTGATACCAGAGGAGATACTCCCCGCAGGCACACAGAAGACTGGGCGACTTGGAAGGTGCTGAACAGACTGCGCTCTGGGACCATGAGATGCAGAGCTAACCTTAAGAAATGGGACCACAAAGTGGAGCCCATGGCACGTGAGTGCGGAGAAGAGCAAATCACAGATCACTCACTGCAATGCAGTCTGAGCCCTGCCACATGCACAATGGAGGACCTTCTCACAGCAACACCAGAGGCTCGCCAAGTGGCTAGCTTCTGGTCAAAGGAAATGTAGTACAATGCCAAGTTTTAAACTTTCTTTGTGGTTTTTCTATACATTATAACTGTATTCTCAATTCGCTTCTGACATGATAAATAAAATAGGTTAATAGCAGCAGTGGCTGTTTCACCAAAGAGGAACTGAATGCAACAGGATGCCTTCTCAGTTTGTGGTCTGAAAAAAATGGGTCAAAAATACCAAAAATGTGGCAAAATGGCCAGTATCACTTCCCCTTAAGAGATGTTCAGGCTATTGGCTATCTGTAGGTAATGTTTGAGCCACCCAAATATTGACAGTTTTATAGTGAGTGACCATAGGGAATGCAGTCCCACAGAACCCAATGCCTGGCAACTGTCCACCTTGCGCCACTTCAAAGGCTTAACTGTAGCACCTACCATTTTTCCTCATGGCTAGGGCTGGTCAAAGCAGGGCTAAAAGAGTTACTTCTTAGACAAGAAGTATTATTTGTTCCAGTTACTCACAACCACAGTATTCCTTTTAAAGGTAAATTCATTTGTGTTGCCGTGTTAGAAAAGGATCTTGCATCTTGTTACTTTCTTGACATTTGTTTGAAAAGATGGTTCAAAGCTTGAGAAATGCCACTCAAATTCTGGCCAAAAGTGATTCTAAAAATATTTTGAGCCATCCCTACCAGTAGGCTGCTTTTTAAAATGTAACCTCCTTGCATCCCCATTGGCAGAAAATGGAAGGTTGGACTTACCATGAATTTGCCTGTACAGCAGTTAGAAGAAGAGTAGATTGACATGAGTTACTTTGTAGGAACAGTCAGTCAAGGACCAGGCTGTAGTGCAGCTAGATAGTATCCAACTGCATTAAATCACTACTGCGAGGTCATGAGTTCAAAGGCAGCCCGGGTTGGAGTGTGCTCCCAACCATTAATAGTCTAGCTTGCTGTTGACATATGCAGCCCAAAAGACAGCTACATCTGTCAAGTAAGAAATTTAGGTACGGCTTTATTAGTAAATTTAACTAATTTACGACACCATAAAACCTTCCATCAGCGGGCGTAAGAATAAGGAAGTACTCCATCAAGGACTCAATGTCACAAGTGAACGATGAAGCAGCAGCTCCCCCTGTGGCCGGAATCAAGCATACCCTCATGAAGCCAGAAAGTTGGAATGTTAAATTGCCTCTGTGTCTGTCTATATATGCTGTATGTTTAATTTGCATTGAATCTTTGCCATGTATATGTGCATTGTAATCCGCCCTCAGTCCCCTGTGGGGCACAATATAAATACTGTAAATAAATAAATAAGTCCTTCCATCTTTGGGCCCTAAGAGGAAAGTAACCCCCTCCAACCCTATACTCTGTACCAAGAAGGAATACATTCACCACAAAAGCAAAAGAAGAAAGGAAGATGAAAGAACTCTTGAAGAAAACAAGAAAAAGCAACCACAAAGAAGTACAGGTCTTGTCCATACTTCCTCTTCACCACTGCAAAAAGGGTGGGACACACTACCTTTTCTTACGGTGTCCAGAGAAGGGCCACCAAAACGATCAAAGGTCTGTAAGTCAAGCCCTAGGAGGAGGAATGGCTGAGGGAGCTGGGGATGTTTAACTTGGAGAAAAGAAGGCTGAGAGGGACCATGATAGTCATGTTTCAATATTTGAAAGGATGTCACCCTGAAGTGGGGGAGCTTGTTTTCTGCTGCTCTGGAGACTAGGACACAATGGAGCAATAGATTCAAATGGCAGAAAAAAAGATTCCACCTAAACATTAGGAAGAACTTGCTGTTCGGCAGTGGAATGTGCTGCTGCCTGGGAGTCCAGTGGGATATCCTTCTCTGGAGGTTTTCACACAGAGGCTGGATGGCCATATGTTGGGAGTGCTTTGATTGTGTCTTCTTCATGGCAGAATGAGGTTGGACTGGATGGCCCTTGGGATCTTTTCCAATTCTATGATTCCATAGAATCATAGAGGAGTGGAGGAAAAAACCAACTGGACTCGGGATGGTTACTTCCCTTTTAGGACGCAAAGACTGAAGGATTGGTCTTGTCCACTGGAATAGTAAGGAGGAATAAAAAGTGATTTGTTATAGATAAACACATTACTCTGGAATGGGCAATGGAATCACCAACATCTGGAAAACCACAATTCACCACTCTGTTCTGCTTTGGTCAAACCTCTCCTGAAATACTCCTGTAATTAAGAAGGACATCACCAATCTCAAATGTGTTCAGGTATAGGTGACCAAGATGTCCAAAGGTCTGGAAACCAAGCCTTATGGAGAACAACTGGGGGAGATGGGTATCTTTGGTTTGGAGAAGAGACGACAGAGAGGTGATGTCACAGCCATCTTGAAATGTCTGAAGGGATGTTATGTGGAAGATGGAAGAAGCTTGTTTTCTGCTGCTCTAGAGACTAAAACCTATAACATTAGTAAGAATTCCTTTAGTGTAATAAATGTTTAACAGTGTAATAGACTGCCTCAGAGAATGGTGGTCTCTCCTTCTTTGAAGGTCTTTAAACAGATGTTGGATGAAACACCTGCTGCGAGTGCTCTATTTATACATTCCTGCACGGCAGGGGATTGGACTGGATGGCCCTTGGGATCCTTCTTCCAGTTCCTAGCATTTTCTAATTCTGTAGTTGTACCAAAGACTGTCTGTGATAAAAGATTTAAGTTGAACTTCTTGAGAGCCTGGAGCCTTATTGACACATTCGATAACTCTGATGCTCATTATTACATTTAATAACCTGCTTTGCAAGTTGGTGACATCTGTTTATTTCAATAGCAATTTGAGCGAACACATCTGGACTGTCACTAATGGGAAGGGGAAAGAGTATTGACTGTAGGACCCGCCATATCCATGGGAGATGGTTAAACTGTGGGTCACACATATTCCCCCTAATGTCTGCAGTTTATAGTTATACCAAACATGGAATGGGAAAACTGAATGAGATGAGTCGAAGAAACAGACTATAGCACCAGATAAGACCTGTGGTAGCGCAGCTGGTTAAACCGCTAGCTGCAGGAAATCTGCTGACCGGAGGGTAAGCAGTTCAAAGCCACAAGTCGGAGTGAGCTCCCGGCTGTCAGATGTAGCTTCTGTCTATCTAGCAGTTTGAAAGCATGTAATGCAAGTAGATCGATAGGTACCACCTTGGCGGGGAGGTAAAAAGGTACCCCATGCAAACATGCTGTTAACATGATCGGGGAAGTCTATGGACAACAAGCTCTTTGGCATGGGCATCACCCCCATGCGTAATAGTTGCATGGGGTTAAATACTTCCTTGCTATAATTTCAGGGACAATTCACATGGCAACATAAGATGCTAATTCTAAATTTTAAGAATAGATGGGACTGAGGGGAAGGCCTTTACCTCTGTCTTTGTATTGTATGTCTTGGTGTACTGTGTAAAAAAGGCATTGAATGTTTGCCTTATATTTGTAAAACTGTAATCCGCTCTGAGTCCCTCTGGGGAGATAAAGCAGAATATAAATAAAGTGTAATATTGTTGTTGTTGTTGTTGTTACTTCTAGCTGCCACATTTTGTTGCACATCTCATTTATGAACACTGAAAAAAGGTGGACTGCCAAACGTTTTGCCCCTTACCTGTTCCATTTCCACCCATAGAGTGATTGTTGTTTTCATTCTCTTGGTTTGGCATCACTAGCCTAAGTTCGTTGATATCTGCTGCAGCATTCTGGATCCCATTCTACAACTCAAAACATTCCCCAGTCAACATCCACAGGAAGAAGACAGTCAGCAGAATAAAGCAGAAAAGGAAATTGTGTACAAGTCAGCAAGAGCAGAAAGAGATTAGCACTAACCTCCCGCTCACAGTGTACATCCAAAGAGCTCCTTTTGGGACATAATTTCTGCCTGGAAAAAAAGCAGCAAGAAAAAAAATGTATTTATTGCCATTGGCGTCATCAGTTGTATCCCACAGTTCCGCTAAAAATAGTGAATGAGGCAGTAAAACAAACCAAAATACAGTTTGAACCTCAACATTTATGAAATAAAAATACACCCAATAAAGGAGAAATAAAATAAGACAGTATATAACAGCACTCCCCAGATTAAATCCTACTTCCTTAGCAATCATAGGTTGTAGAATTAATGCAGTTTGACACTCCTTTAACTACCGTAGCTCATTGCTATGGGAATTATGCTGTCGCACGCTGAGCCTGTGCATATGACTGTAGACAGGACATAAATTCTGTGTGCCCAACGGGACGCCGGGGCTGCCTCAGATTAAAGGCCCTTGGACCTCCCCAAAACAAAATTCTGTAGAGGCTTAAAGTAAGTCCAACAAAGTTCTTTATTAATGAAGACAAACAGGTACTTTAAAGCTTTCTTAACAGTCTATAGGCTCTTGCAATCTTGTTCACTGGGAACAGGCACTATCTTCATAACTATATAATAACTAATGGGGAAATCCTTAACTTCCAATCTGGGCAGTCTGTACTTGCCTCTGTTGGCGTGGAGCCCCTGCACCCGGTACCAACTGCGTCAGGCTTCCGTGAACGACCCTTACCAAGCAGAGCTTTGTAGACTTCCAGGGGAAAAGAAGGAATTCAGGTTGCTGTGATGGCTGGCTGAAGTCCCTCAGCAAAGGAGCTGTAAGGCTGCAAAATCCACAGCCAAGCTGTGGGGCCTTTTCTCCCCGGCCAAGCTGTAGGCTGTAGGCTGTATATCTCCCCGGCCAAGCCGTAGAAGACGAAGCTTTCTACAGGAGCTCTTCATTTTATGTCCTGTGCGAAATGCTTCTCTGTGAGAACTGACTCAAAAAGGCTCCTATTCCCTCCAAAACTCAAAAAGGGGTGGGTCCAGGGAACCTAACGATAATTGACAGGTGGCTTGCCCTATGATTGCAAACTATAACAGGAAGCCACCCTGCTGCAAAATCCCAAGCCTGGGATTGCAAACAAACATTTAATGCAAAACAAACAGAATTGGAGCTCCTGGTACAGCTGTACCAGCACACTCCTGGCCTATATTTCTCAATGATGAGAAATCTACACTATAACATTGGCGAATCTAATTTGGCAATGAACAATTACCCATTCAATAATAACACAATATCACAAATTGGTCTGTGTAACATTGCCATTTTGGCAAACTCTTACTTTTACCTTCCTTACCAATCCATCCAGACTTGGCAAGGTCTCTGTAACTTTGGCCAAAGGCCACTTGAAATGGGGTAAGGATTTGTCTTTAAGCACAACAATGTCTCCAAATTGGAGGTTGGGCTTAGAGTCTTTCCACTTCCTGCGACTCTGGAGTTGAGCCAGGTACTCTGCCTTCCAGCGTCTCCAAAACTGATTGGCAAGAGTTTGAGTTTGTTTCCAGAGTGCTTTGTAAGATCCTTCGGGGACAGGGTACATAATTACCTGCCATTCAGAAGTCTTTTGAGTCAAAATAGACGCAGGAGTGAGAAGCTGTGGAATGTCTGAGTCTGTGGTGATGGGCATCAATGGGCGACTATTTACAGTGGCTGTCATCTCCGCCATCAAAGTGACCAAAACATCATGGGTCAAATTCTTACACTCTAAAAACATAACATTTAAAATCTTTCTACACAAACCAGTCATACGTCGTCGTCCCCCCATGTGAGACGCACGCGGTACATTAAACAACCATGTAACCTTTTCTGCATTTAAAAAGACTGAAGTATCCATACACTCAATCACCTCGATGTGAATGGCTCGAATAACTAAACAAGTGAAGATGACTGAAAAGAAATGCCTTGTTTCTCTCCTAATTATCTGAGCTAATTGGATGGCTAGCACAGCTGCACACAGTTCTAACCTAGGGATAGTGGTGTTAGAGGGAGCAATCTTGGCCTTGGCCATGACAAAACCTAAAGTGCAAGAACTAGAGTCCCTTTGCCTGGTGTAAGCCACAGCTGCAATGGCTTTCTCCGAGATGTCGCAAAAGACATGGAGTTCGGTGTGTGAGCCTTGCAAAGGGCTCCTGGCCGTGAATTTGCACAGGATGCTCAACTGGTGTAAATCTTGAGCCTGGGCGGCCCAAGTGGTCCAAGAGTTTTTGATGGACTGATCCCAGTCCAGTTTGCTTTCAATGACCTCTCGAAAGAGGAGCTTAGCTGTTATCATGACAGGGGCAGCCATTCCCAATGGGTCAAAAACACCATTAACTGATGATAACATCTGTCTCTTGGTGTTCACGCCAGTGAACCGTGTAGCCCTGACTGACAAGAGGTCCAGATGGGTGTCCCAAAGCAAGCCTAAGGTGGACTCGGCGCTCGCGTCCTGGAACAACTCCAATACGTTGTCTTGTATCAGATCTTCAGTCGGGAAGGCTCTTAAAATGTCGGTGCTGTTAAAGTTGATCTTGTGCAGCCTGACGTTGGCCTTTTTCAACAAGGATTGGACATCCTTCACTGTATTAACTGCAGATTGTGTGGTGTCAAACGACACAAGCAAGTCATCTACATAAAAATTCTGATTAATAACTTGGGCGACCCGAGGGTCAAAGGAGTGTCCAAATCCAGTCTTTTGCAGGCAATAGTTGGCCACCGCAGGAGATGGTGTGTTTCCAAACACATGGACCTGCATCTGGAAGGCTTTCACATCACGCTAGAGCCTGGGTATCTTTAAACCATAAAAACTTTAAATAGTTTCTATGCTCCGGTGTGACCAGGAATGCATAAAACATTTTGAAGATGTCAGCGATGACAGCATACTTGGATTCCCTGAACCTAAGGATGATTCCGATAAGGCTGTTCAGAAGGTCTGGTCCCTTCAGGAGTACGTCATTCAAAGAGATGTCCTTGCATTTGGCACTGGCATCAAACACAATGCGCACCTTTTCCGGCTTCTGTGGGTGAGTGACCTTATGGAAGGGAAGAAACCAAGACTCTTCCTTGTCTGAGCCAGGGCTGGATGGCTCAGCATACCTTGCTGAAAACATGTCATCCATAAACTGAACGATTTGCTGTTTGGTCTTGGGATCACGCTGCATCTTGCGTCTCAAAGACTGCAGTCTCTTCTCTGCTACCTGTCTGTTGGGAGGCAGGGTAGGCCAGTCTGCTTTGAAGGGCAAAGGGGCGATCCAATTCCCTTCCTCACTGAGAGCGACCTCGGAGTTCATGGTGTTCAGGAACGCTTGCTCATCTCGGGAGAGCGCTGTGTTCTCGTCGTCCCGGGATACATCGAAGATGGATGAAAACTCAAATGAAACTACTTGGCAGCAGACAGAAATGTGGCTGAGGCAACTTTGCATGAGGGTGACTCTGCCACAGCTGAGGGTGTTTGGCTGGTCTGGACACAGAGAAGATGGAGGATGCATTCTGTCGAAACATACAGGTCCCTGTATGGTCCATCCTAATGGAGTCTTCTGTGCCAAAGGTGCACCAGGAAGACCTCTCTTCTCAGCCCGGATGCTCATCAAGCTGGGACAGTTGGATCTGATGAGCAGGACTATGGCAATGCCCGGCTCAAAAGGTGGAATGAGGTCCTGTAGTCCTTTCAAGTGAGGATGCGCTTGCATCATCTCTCTGGTAGCAATCTGGTCCTTATTGCGTGGGATGGACGCACACTCAATAAGGTCAGGTAACTCAAAGCGAATGTCTTTGCCACATGGCGAAATGATAAATCCATATGCAACGCAGCCCTGTCTTCTTTGTTTGCCCGTACAAGTAGAAATACAATAGTCAATAGTCTTTGCCTGCCCCTTAAAGATTCTGAAGAAGTCAGGGGTGGCCAGGGAACCGTCGCTTTGGTTGTCAAGGGCCACGTACATTTTCTTCTTCATCCATGGCTTGCTGGCAGGAAAGACCTCTTCCAAACAAATGGGGTGGCAAATCCTAGTCTTCTTTGGGCTGCCGCACAGCTGTGTGCAGGCCACAGAGGCTGCCTCAGTGCCCAATGAAGGTCCAGCTGAATCTTCTGGGGAGCGTTGACTGGTGGCTCCGCTCTTGACCTTGGAGGGCACGAAATCCTTGTCATGCATAGCTGAGCAATGCTTTTCGGATTGGCACACCTCGCGCTTTATCTTTCCTTTGCATGACTTTGACTGGTGGGGAGTTGCACCGCAGCACCTGAAGCAGATCCTGGACTTCTTGAGGCTCTCGACCTTGTCTGTGTGAGGCTTCTTGGCAAACTCCCTGCAGTCGGCCAAACTGTGGGATTTTGCATGCAGTGGGCACAAAACATCCTTAGGCGTCGTCTTGGCGTCAGCTGGAGATGAGTTGGTCTCCGTGGACTTGACAGCAATGTTTCTCTTAGCACCACGGTCCTTTGCAGGTTTCTTAGGATCTTTGATGGGCCTGTCCGTCCTTGGAGTCTCATAAAGAGTTGGAAATCCCGTCTGAGGGTCGTTGAGTTGCATCGCCGCATTTGTAACAAAATCCACAAGATGGGTGAACGGTAGGTAGACCTGATGGTTGGCCTGCTTGAATCTGAAGACTTCTCTGCCCCACTCTTCTTGCAAGGAGTACGGCAGTTTTGGAGTTATGGCAGTTTGGGACAAGTGTTGGTCCAGGCAGGCAAACCTTGGAAGCTGTGGGTTTCCCTTGGCTGACTGGAGCTCAATCAATAAGTCTGACAGGTCCCAAAGCTGTTTGAAGTCTTTTAGTTTGAGCACCGGGAACGTATGAAGTCTGTCCATCAGCGAGGCTTCAATTTGGGTGCTGGACCCGTAGCGCTGGTCAAGCCTCGTCCATGCAGTTTCCAAAGCTCTATCTGGTTGGTCGATGAGAGCTGAGAAAATCCTTCTCACCTGCTGAGCTGATACTGGACCAAGCCAGGCAATCATAAGAGTCAATTGCTCCTCAGAGGTGAGTCTTAAACTCTGTATGGCTTGCTGAAAAGTCTTTTTCCAAAGTAGGAAATCTTCTGGCCGGTCAGATAATTTTT